GAAGATGGGACAGCGCCGCCGACGCAAGGACCGGGTTGAGGGGTGGTTACTCCATATGCTAAGGGATTTGCGAGATTCTGTGCGTAGCTCATAGCAGGAAGACAGGTTGAGGTGGAAGGGGGCAGTGTAGCAGCAGCAGCAGGAGCACATGTTGCAGCACGAAGAGGAGCGCTGGTCGTAACAGGTGCAGAGGATGTGAGAGGAGCACAGGATGTGGCAGGAGCGTATGGTGATGTGGGAGAAGCGAATGATGCCGCTGCAACCGATGGTTGGGGCACAGGAGGAGTGAAGGATGTAGCAGGAAGGGGAAGTGCGGCAAGAGAAGGAGCACAGGCTGTAGCAGCAGTAGCCGGACAGGTGCAGGCTGTAGCAGACGCCAATGCTGTAGCAGGCGCAAAGGATGGAGCAGGAGGCGATGCAGGAACAGGGGTCCAGGTTGTAGCAGCAGGGCCAGGTGTAACCGGAGCGAAGGTTGTAGCAGGAGAGAGGTTTGTAGCACGAACGAGGGTTGTAGCAGGAGCGAGGTTTGTAGCAGGAGCAAGGGTTGTAGCAGGAGAGAGGGTCGTAGCTAAAACGGCGGTCGCAGAAGCAGGGCTGGCAGAAGAGGAGCAAAGGAGGCGGGTTGCAGAAGCATCGGGAGGTGGCGGCGGGTGGTTGTGTGAGCCGTGGTATACTGTCCTCACCACCACACGCATCTCAGTCCTTGGCATCTCCACATTGCCAGTCTCCTCCTCATCTCTCAACCCTCCCACTGCATCTCCAGCCCCCACTGCAGCTGCAGCCCCCTCTCTGGAATCCAACACTCTGGTAGTAGCAGGACCGCCTCTGAATGTGGCCTTTGAGACGGTCCCCGCGCCTTGGTGCCTCGGCCTGGAGATGAGGCTGTTTGAGCGGCGGTGCCTCGCCTCTCCAGCCACGCGGTCTTCCGTCTTCTTCGCCTGGCAGCCTGTTGCTTGCTTGGACGCACACACATAGTACAGCCTGCACGCACGAAAAGGACGACGTGGTTAGTACTAGTTGGTACGGCCATCACAACACGCCATGACGCTTGGAAGGGGTCACTGATTATGCTCCAGGGTAGCAGAATGTAGTACTAGTACTAACATACTATCATAGTAGGTACTGCTGTATGCTACGAGCAATGCAGGACCTCAGAAAGGCGTACCGTTTAATCTGCTGACCCACGATGCGCTTGTGAGAAGTCTTTTTCCATTTGAAACCCTCATGCGGCACTAGTTGTGGTTGATGGGCGGTCGCCACGTGACTCCCAACCAGGCGATGATCCTGGCTCAGTCCCATGTTCGGCGCTGGTGTCAACTCCACGTCAGCATGTGCAATCTCTGAACTGGATCGGCCAGGCGAAACCCTAATAGTAGGTAGGGCCCATCCTGGCGGAGAATGGATCACAGCGCTGTGATCGCCAGCATGCGCATGCTCGTGGGGCTGCTGCTGCACGTGTTGCTGCTGCTGCACAAGATCATGCCTCTCGGGACTACTAATACTACTAAGTTTGATGCTCGCCTCGGAACTGGAACTAGCTTTCATGTCACGGTAGCACAAAATGTGGCACATTTAGACGAACACGAAGACTCTTCGCTCGGAGAACAAATTCATGGGCCAGGATCTGCTTTCAAATATTGAAGGAGTACTTCAATCGAGGAATAGTATAGCGCACGCGAGGATAACCAGGATCGTGCCGCACGCGGAGTCACAATCGAGTCAAACGTCGAAGTTCCTAGACTCGATTCGCAATGCGCCGCGTAAGGTCGACTTTTTTCAACGTATAATTAGAGGGGGTGCTGCAACGCTGTGATGCAGCGAAGCAAAGGTTCCACCTTTCAGGTTTGGCATCTGCTAGGCTGGCCTAGTTGTAGATTGGGATGTTATGATGTAGGGGGAGCAGATAGGGTGTGTATGGGAGGTTGGGGGGAGAAGGGGTGGCGGTGGGAAGGGGGTTTTGGGGAGGGAGTGGGGGAGGGGAGAGGGCAGGGGAGGGAAATGCCTTTCACAAATCACCTGGCGACGCAATCGGCGCAAATGCTGTTCAGGTGGAATTGGGTGGCCAGGCCACATCGTGGTGCCGTGCAGAGCCAGAAATCCTGAGGGCAAGGGGGAGGGAGGGGGCTCAGGGAGGAGAGTGAAAGCTGGATGATGTGCAGTTGCAGTGCGTATGGTTGGCATGGCATGGCATCACTGGCATGACAAGGCCAATCACGATTCTTTCCCAGGTTTGTGGAATCAGTATGTTTTTTTTCGCTCACCCTGCTAAGCATCTCATGGCTTGAATGCACGTTGGAACCTATCTGCAGTTCTAGCACGTCTGAACTTCCTATTTAAGTTCCAGCTCCTATGTTAGGCTGGGAGACTGCTTTGCGCTGATCGACTCAAACTACTGGGTTTGAACAATAAAACGTCATTTTCCGCAAAGAGCTGAAATACAGTAAACTAACGCACGATAGGTTGATGTCGCCCTAAGGGCGTGGAAAATCGCCCGAAACTGGGTTTGGCCGTTTTCTGTCGTTCATTTGGTCGACATTTTTTTTCGCGAACGTCGACAAGATGGTCGCAGGCAGGTCGTCACTTTTTCGGCCATTTGGGGGTGCGCTTCAAATTTGACAAGTTTTGCTGGCTGTTCTGACAGACGTGGAAAATCTCGGTTTGGATTTTCCAACGACTTGTAGCGACAATGTCGTACACACACAAACGACGTCGTGAGCTCGATGTAACCACCTTTGCGACGTCGTTTTTTCACTGTAGCCAATCTGGTCGACATGGTGGCCGTTTTAATGTCGTTCATTCGTCGGAAAAGTGTCGACAATCTTTTCGGCCACCAAAACACAAATTTAGATGGCCGAATTTTGCGACTATCGCAAATATCTCGACGAGTTTCGTTAGCTGGTTACTGTCGCAACGGCCACTGGCCGAATTGAGATGTCGGGCGATTTTTCACGCCCTAAGCGTTTTGGACTACGAGAAAGCCGGGGTTTCTCAATCTGGCCAATTGGAACTCCAGTTGAAGGGCGAAAGAGTCGCAGCTATACAGAGCGCCGCATGGGAGGGGTAACACATCGATTATGCCACAAACGACAAAAAATATCTTCGGGTGTTTGCACGGTGGACGAGTGGTAGTACAGCTGTTGCTTAATTGGGACACCTTGAATTACAATATAATTGACAACCTATATGGACATTCAGTAAACCCCTATGAAAATGTTCTATTGGATAATGCTCTTCAATCTCCACTCTTGTTGGCTCGTTCTGAATGTCTCGAAACAAACTTCCAACCTGAAAAATTTGCTGATGTGGAGTGAAGACGTCGCATCACGGTGTTATTGCTATACGGGAGGGCTAGTGACTAGGGAAAGCATCATAACATGTTTCACTATTGATGTGCATCGTAAATATGTTCACTCATCCTTAAGACAATGCCACTTCCACAAACAAATATGTAAATCTGGTTCCCACAATGGAGCCTTAAATTGACAAAAGCAATTTCTTTTTGTATTGTTTACAGAATAAAATTACTTGGGGCCCAAATGCGGGTATTATTTGTACACATGATGCTTAGATATTGCACACGCATTTGCTCTAACCAAACTCGATTCTCTGCCCATCAACAATTTGTACTGGGCAATTGCACGTGGGTTGCGGTTTACAGACCCGACGAGCCACTTGCAAAGACTAGGCGGTTTAAAAAGCTGGCGATAGTGGAACAAATTAACCGCAGTTACATTGGTTAGCCTTAAAGCGAGGATGTAAATTAAAATCTATCATTATTTACCATTACGCAAATAAAAGTCGTGTCGCTACAGTGTTTTTTTAGGCCATTTTGCCCGTTGGCGAGGTATGCGCAGCGCTCGCGAAACACTCTGCTCATTTCTTATGCAAAACGTCCCCTGACCTTGTAAAACTGTAAATGGCATCAGGTGTAGAGGATTTTCTGTCATAGGAATCTGCACCGAACTGAAGGGTGGTGTTGAAGTTACGGAGAAAGCAGACACCTTGCACAGCTGTCGTCACGAGGGATCGATCAGAAAAAGACACCAAGCTTGTACTGTACAGAAGGTGTCCTGAGGAAGGTCAACGGCTAGTTGTGACGTTCAAATAAAAAAGCACCACATGTAGAACGCTAGATTACACGTACTGATACATGCCAACCAGAAGCCAAATTACAACGGATTCATTATGCCAACCACATCACATGGTCGCCGCCACTGTAGTGTATTGCCACGGTGTCGACGATAGCGTTGACTGAATGCCAGGGCAGCACTGATGTACAGCCCTACAGTTTTGTGGGAACGCAAAGCGGACAAGTGCATATTTGATTTCGATTTTGAAAGTGTGGTTTGCGCTGCGTTCCGCCTCTCCCCCGAGCCAGCCTTGCTCGATGAACATTGCACGTACTGGGTAAAGGAGGGGCGCAGCTACATGCTCGACACAGCAATACCTAGTTCATTACGAAAAATAAACTACGAAGATAAAGCACAACGACAAGATGGTTAATTGGGCTCGGTATGTTACAAGATGCACATTCTATGCAGCGGATGTGCTCCATGGGGGTAATAGCAATCCGCCAAAGATTATGCACAACGATTATAGCCAACACAACACAAGAAAGGATAAGCAGCCACATCATTGCTGAAAATCATCAAAGCAGGCCTAGGAAGCCTGGGGATACCGAGTGGCCTAGGAAGTGCGAATTGGATGGCGTGACTGCCTTGCTGCGGCCAACATACTCCCGAACGACAGAAAGTGGGAGCAGGAGAGCAAGCGAACGAGCGATCGAGAGTGTGGGTATGAGTGATGGCGAGATGAGATGGCTGGTTACAAAGAGATGTCCGGAGGGAGGGAGAGTGCGAGGAGGTGCAGATTGGCGGACATGACTGCCATGCCCAGGAAAATGGCGAGCTCTGCCCTGCGATGGCTTGCCCAGGAACCTGAGATGGCCTGTGGGATGGCTTACTACAGTGCACTTGCAAACGCACTGCAATGGCAGCTGGTCACAAGGAGATGTCCGGAGGGAGGGAGAGCGCGAGGAGGTGCAGATTGGCGGACATGACTGCCATGCCCAGGAACATGGCCTGCACTGCCCTGCGATGACCCGCGTACTCAAAGGCGAGAGGCAGCATCTCGTGCAGCACGAGGAACGCCATGATGCCCCCCACTGCATGCACAGGGATGGAGAGGGGTGGAGAGGGATGCAAAGGGATGCATAAAGATGCGGAACAGGAGGTCGTAACACCGTGCGAACAGCATTAGCAGTAAGACGAGATGCATCTCGTGCAGCACGAGGAACGCCATGATGCCACCCACTGCATGCACAGGGACGCAGGGGGGTGGAGAGGTATGGAGTGGGACACACAGGAGTGCAGAGAAATGCAGAGTGATGCAGAGGAATGACAAGCATCATGCCATCACAACCAGGAACATGGCCAGCACTGCTCTGCGATGGCCTGCGAACTCGAAGGCCAGAGGCAGCATCTCGTGCAACACAAGGAATGCCATGATGCCACCCACTGCATGCACAGCACAGGGATGCAGAGGGGTGGAGAGGAATGGAGAGGGACGCACAGGGATGCAGAGAAATGCAGAGTGATGCAGAGGAATGACAAGCTTCATGCCATCACAAGCAGGAACATGGCCAGCACTGCCCTGCGATGACCCACGTTCTCAAAGGCGAGGGGCAGCATCTCGTGCAGCACGAGGAATGCCATGATGCCACCCACTGCATGCACAGGGATGCAGAGGGGTGGAGAGGGATGGAGAGGGGCAACTGATGAATGCCCAGGAACATGGCCAGCACTGCCCTGCGATGGCCCGCGTACTCAAAGGCGAGAGTCAGCATCTCATGCAGCACGAGGAATGCCATGATGCAACCCACTGCATGCAGAGGGATGCAGAGGGATGCAGAGGGATGACAAGGGGTGCAGACGGATACATAGGGATGGAGATGCATGGAGAAGGATGGAGAGGGACGCACAGGGATGCACACGCCAGCACAGACAGCAGATGAAGCGTGAAAGGGGAAGCACACGCAACATGCCAGCGCAGACAAGACAACAGGGAAAACCAGCACCGTGTGAGAGAGCAGAGCACGTACCCCCAGCAAGCAACCCCTCAATGAGGTCAGGGGCGAGTGAGGCGGGGAAGAAGAAAGCCACAAAGACAACCCCCAGGGGCATGGTAGAGATGGGGGTGGAAGAGGGTGTGGAGAGAGAAGGAGCAAAACACGTACCACCGGCAAGAAGCCCCTCAATGAGGTCCGGGGCGAGCAAGGCCGGGAAGAAGAGGGCTACGAAGACCACCCCCAAGGTGGACAAGGAATTGGAGAAAAGGACAGATAGTGAGAGGGGCAGGGCACATACCTCCAGCCAGAAGCCCCTCAATGAGGTCAGGGGCAAGCGAGGCCGGGAAGAAGAGGGCCACGAAGACCACCCCCAAGGTGGACAAGGAATTGGAGAAAAGGACAGATAGTGAGAGGGGCAGGGCACATACCTCCAGCCAGAAGCCCCTCAATGAGGTCCGGGGCGAGCAAGGCCGGGAAGAAGAGGGCCACGAAGACCACCCCCAAAGGCTCCGCAGCCCCCGAGAGAGCCGCGGCTCGGAAGGCGGCCCAGCGGCTTCTCGTGCCGAAGTAGATGGGGAGGGCGACTGCAAGGCCCTCCGGGATGTTGTGCAAAGCGATGGCTACTGCCAGGCTGATGCCCACTCTTAGGCCCTGAAGGGAATAGGAGGAGAAACGGGTGAGAGGAGCATAGGGGCCTGAGAAGAGGCTGCATGTGCCGAAGTAGATGGGGAGGGCGACTGCGAGGCCCTCGGGGATGTTGTGTAACGCTATTGCCACCGCTAGGCTGATGCCCAATCGCAGACCCTGCAGGAAATAGGAAGGGAGAGGGGAGCGGGATTGGAGGAGAGGAGCGGATGGGCATGGAGAGTGGTGGCTGCACGTGCCGAAGTAGATGGGGAGGGCGAATGCGAGTCCCTCGGGGATGCTGTATAATGCTATGGCCATTGCTAGGCTGATTCCCACCCGCAGACCCTGAAGGGAAAGGGAGGGAGGATTGGAGGGGGGGGGAAGGGGAGAGGAGGGGTGCGAAAAGGGATAGGAAAAGGGAGGGGGGAATGGCCTAAACGGATGGAGGGAAGTGGGGAGTTGTGCAGGCGAATATAGCTTGATACACACACCAGTCAGGCACACCCACACACAAGTAACCCCCGTACCCGCACCAGTACTCTCTCCCCCTCTCCCCCTTTGACCTTTATGGATCCCAGGAACACAGCGATGCCTCGAGGGAAGTTGTGCAGGCTGTAGAGAGGATGGGGGGAAGGCGGCTGATCCACTAGTACCCCCAGCACCCCCAGTAACACCTTCCCACTCCTCCTCACCTTCATGGACCCCAGGAACACTGCAATGCCCTCGGGGAAGTTGTGCAGGCTGATGCCCAGCGCCGTGATCACTCCACTCCACAGCACCGCTTGCCTTTAGCCCTCAAGGACCCACCAACCCATGCCCACACCACACCAGTACCCACAGCACCCAGTCCCTCTCATCTCACCTTCGTGGATCCCCGTCCCTCTCATCTCACCTTCGTGGATCCCCGTCCCTCTCATCTCACCTTCGTGGATCCCCGTCCCTCTCATCTCACCTTCGTGGATCCCCGTCCCTCTCATCTCACCTTCGTGGATCCCCGTCCCTCTCATCTCACCTTCATGGATCCCCGTCCCTCTCATCTCACCTTCGTGGATCCCCGTCCCTCTCATCTCACCTTCGTGGATCCCCGTCCCTCACATCTCACCTTCGTGGATCCCCGTCCCTCTCATCTCACCTTCGTGGATCCCCGTCCCTCTCATCTCACCTTCATGGATCCCCGTCCCTCTCATCTCACCTTCGTGGATCCCCATCCCTCTCATCTCACCTTCGTGGATCCCCGTCCCTCTCATCTCACCTTCGTGGATCCCCGTCCCTCTCATCTCACCTTCGTGGATCCCCGTCCCTCTCATCTCACCTTCGTGGATCCCCGTCCCTCTCATCTCACCTTCGTGGATCCCCGTCCCTCTCATCTCACCTTCGTGGATCCCCGTCCCTCTCATCTCACCTTCGTGGATCCCCGTCCCTCTCATCTCACCTTCATGGATCCCTGTCCCTCTCATCCTTCGTGGATCCCCGTCCCTCTCATCTCACCTTCGTGGATCCCCGTCCCTCTCATCTCACCTTCGTGGATCCCCGTCCATCTCATCTCACCTTCGTGGATCCCCGTCCCTCTCATCTCACCTTCGTGGATCCCCGTCCCTCTCATCTCACCTTCGTGGATCCCCGTCCCTCTCATCTCACCTTCGTGGATCCCCGTCCCTCTCATCTCACCTTCGTGGATCCCCGTCCCTCTCATCTCACCTTCGTGGATCCCCGTCCCTCTCATCTCACCTTCGTGGATCCCCGTCCCTCTCATCTCACCTTCGTGGATCCCCGTCCCTCTCATCTCACCTTCGTGGATCCCCGTCCCTCTCATCTCACCTTCGTGGATCCCCGTCCCTCTCATCTCACCATCGTGGATCCCGGGAACACAGCGACTTTTGAGTCGACTCAAAAGTCACCAGGAACACAGGGATGCCCTCGGGGAAGTTGTGCAGGCTGATGCCCAAGGCTGTGACCACCCCACCCACTCCACAGCACAACATCCCCGCGTCCCTTCCCCACCCCTGTTCCCCCACCTTCATACACCAGTGACACAAGTAACACCTTTCCCCTCTCATCTCACCTTCATAGACCCCAGGAACACAGCAATGCCTTCGGGGAAGTTGTGCAGGCTGATGCCCAGCGCCGTGACCACTCCACCCCACAGCACCGCTTGCCGCCGCCTCTGCATCTCCCGCTCCCCCACCTCTCTCTCCCCTACCTGTCTCTCCCCGACCTCTCTCTCCCCCACCTCTCTCTCCCCCGCCTCTCTCTCCCCCTCCCTCGTCCCTCGCCCCTCCTTTCCCCCCCAACTTCCTTTGCTCCACACTCCCTTTTCCTCCTCCCTGCTCCCACTGCTTGCTCTTTTTGCATCTGTTCCATCCTTCAATCTCTGTCTCTCCTCCCCCACCCCCTCCACCCCTCTCACTCCTCTCTCTTCTTCCACCCCGTTATCATCAGTATTCCGACTCCCCACACCATCACGGGAATCCCACTCGCTGCTCTTAATCCCACTAAGCCAATGCTCCACACGGCTGTCTCTGTCGCTGTCCGAGCCTGACCCTCGAACCAGGTTCGGATGCTCCACCGGGCCAGCTCTTGCCGAACCTGAGGCTCGGTTCGGGTCCGAATCAGGGCTTTCCGAGCCTAAGGCTTGGGTGAGATCTAGGGAGGAGAGGGAGGAAGGGAGGTAGAAGGAAGAGGAGGAGGAGGCGGAGGGGGAATTGAGTCGCGCGAGTGTTTGTTTCCGTATGAGAGGAGGTGGTGAGTCTGGTGGTGGTGGTGGTATCACTGCTGGTGCCAGTACTGCTGCTGCTGGTGCTGATGGTACTGCTGCTGCTGTTGCTTCTGCTGGTGCTGCTGCTGTAGGCACTGCTGCTGTTGCTTCCGCTGGTGCTGCTACACCTAGCGCTACAACTGACGATGCTGCTGGTGCCTGAATAGGTTGATCTGTCCGCTGCCTCTCCTCGAATGGTTCGAACACAGGGTCAGACGTAGGTTGGGATGCAGGCTCGCACGTAGGTTCGGATGCGTGTTTCAATAGAGGTTCGGACGAAGCGGGAATTACAGATGGCTCGGGTGCGAGGGAAGGCTCGGGGACAAAGTGTACAACTGTTGCAAAGAGAAGCGCTCCTGCAAAGAACTGAGAGGCACAACGAGTAAGTGTGAGGCAGAGGGGAAGAGAGAGGGAGAGAAAGGGAGGGTGAGGAGGAGAGAGCATACGGGCCAGTTGGGAAGAGAGGGCCTCACAGGGAAAGAGAATAGCAAGGGAGTTGCAGCAGAAGAGCCTTAGTCCCACCCATAGGCCAGAAACATGTTTTGGAAAGTACTTGCCGTTCCAATCCAAGTCGACTCAAAAGTCGCCAGACGTCGAATCAAGTGAAATCAAAAGGCATGTCAAGTCGACTCAAAAGTCATCTCGAGTTGACTCAAAAGTCACTTGAACCGAGTTGCAGCAGAAGAGCTTCTGACCCACCCACATAGCTCGGAAACACGAGTTCGAATCACTCACCCATAGGTTGGCAGCGGGAAAGCCAATCGCCTCAATGGCTTCTGGCACGAGATCAAAGACGGTGAGGCTCAGCATGAGCCCGCTGGCAAAGCCCTGAATTGACAGACGGAAAGTGGGAATGGGCGGATGTATGCGTGGGGGGAGAGAGGGGGGAAGGGGAGGGGAGACGGGGGAGAAGGAAGGGGATGCGGAACGGCTTAGCATGAGATCAAAGAACGTTAGGCTCAGCATGAGCCCGCTGGCAAAGCCCTGATAGCGGAGGAAAGTGGACGGGAGGCGGGAAAGTGGGGTGAGAGGCGGAAAGAGGACGGGAAGGGAGAGGGGGAGAGAAGGCGAGGGAGGGAGGGAGGGAGAGCAAAGGCAGGAGAGCGGGGTAGGGTTAAGGAAGGGGTTAGGGTTAAGGGAGGGGGTCTGAGAACTTCAGGCACAAGGTTAAACAAGGCGAGTGTCTGGTTCAAGAGACGCGAGATGAGGTGAGGTGGCGTGAGGTGCGATGGCGTGAGGTGCGGTGACGTGCGGTGAGGGGAGGTGAGATGGGGTGCAGAAGGGCATGCTGTGGTGCACCTGCAGGAGGCCAAGGCGCTTGATATCAGGCACAGCTTGAAGCACCACGAGAGCACCGCCTGGTGGGAGGAGGTAGGAGGAGGTGGGAGTGGGTGGGAGGGGGTGGGAGGTAGTGGGAGGTGGCAGGAGGTGGTGGGAGGGGTGGGGGGAGGTGGGAGGTGGTGGGAGGACATTGAAGGAGATGGGAGGGCAGGGATGCAAGGACGCGCTAGTGCATGCAATCAAACGACTGACAGAGATGATGCATAGGGAAAACGAGAGGAACAAGGCTGTTGGTGCTCAGACCGGCGACGAAAGTGAGCGTGCGGGCGATGGCGACTCGAGGCGGCGAGTTGATGCGCTTTGATTTGAGTCCTCATTAAGAGCCGTGATGAGGCTGCCAACGAGAGTAAGTAAGCGGGAGGGCGATGCCGACTTGAGGCGACAGCCCAATGCCAAACCCCATGGACGGCAGGCCTGCCAGCACAGACGTAACGGCCGCCAAAACTTCTGCTGCGGCTGCTGCTGTTTGTGGGGCTGCGACTGCCAATGTGTCCGCGCTGCTGCTGCTGCTGCTGCTGCTGCTGCTGCTGCTGCTGCTGCTGCTGCTGCTGCTGCTGCTGCAGCAGCTCCAGTCACGGCTGCACCAACTGAATCGGCTGCTGTGTGTCCCACCTGTAACGCTCCCTCTTGCAACGCCACTCCCAATTGGGATGCTTCAAGTTGAATCGCTCCGAGCGCTGCCGCTGGAGTAGCTGCCGCTTCTGCGAGGGCTGCCGATGGTGCAAGCAGCAGCGCGCCCGCTGCTGACGTCACACGAAAAGAAATTTCTGTTGCTGGTGGTGATGCTGTTGCTGCTGTTGCTGGTTTTGCTGGTGGAGGTGATTCTGCTGCAGCTAATGTTCGGTTTGCTAATGAACCTCTTTCTGACCTTGCTACCACCACGGATTTTGAGATTGGTTTCCTGCTGGACTGCTCTGTTGATCTCCTCAAACGGGTAGAAGAGTGTGAGGGCGTGAATCTGGCGAGCGAATTCAAACGGCAGACTGGCTGAATGAGACCAGATTGACGGCTAGGCGTCACGCCAGGTCGGCACACCTGCAGACGAGGAATTTGGCGGGAAACAAACGGTATTCAACGAGAAGCTCAAGCACGCACAGCAATAATGTTTGGGAAAGCTTTGGTGCCGTGCGAGCGGGTACTAAATCGGATCGCGGTGGCAATGTTCAAGCACACGCAACCGCAGTAAAAAATCAGATATTTGTATATTCCTCCGCCCTCTTCCCCCCACCCCCCAAATTCTCGATTTTTTTTTTTTTTTATGCATCGCGACGAGCAGGTGCCTGAATCACTGTCGCAAAGCTCAATCACGCACAGCAGCAGTAGCGTGAATTCATACACTATTTGGCGGTAACCGGAAAACCGTCCTGCGCTCTAACAAGCTGCGCTTTAACTAACGATGCTGTTCAAATTCCGGACTGAAAACCGAGGCTTCGAAAAGTGAGATAGGACATGCCTGATACGCCACTAACGGGACGAACAGAAGTTTAATGCAGGCCAGGTACGTAGTAGAATGATAGAACGCCTCAACGAGGCTTGCCGAAGAAAAGGTTAGTAGTACCTTGGAAGTATAACGAGGCGTAGATTGCCAGCTGGAGCAGACACGTGTCAAATCGTGACAGGGGTGGCCGCTGAAGCAGCTGCGGGCCATGGACGACCGGAGAAGCAGGAGTAATCAACCCGGGAAGCGTCATTCGGCCATGGCTGAAACGATTCTAGAGGCGCTTCACAAATCAAGCTGAGAAACGCCGGTACACTTAGAGAGTTTCATCCGCCAGATAGGCTATGGTTTGAATCTACCTGCAAAATCGTCTACCCTGACAGGGTATCTGGCGACTCGCTCGCACACCTACTTAGTTTGCCCTGAGGACTGGTAACGCGGAGCGCACAAATTACCCGAGCCACGGGATTCGACAACAATGACGAGAGTACTCGTACGGTGGTGCGCAAAAAATCAGCACGGCGGAATTAGCAACGGCAGGACTGAAAAGACATTCTCCCAAAGAAAAAGCGTAATTCAAGGGAGGTTCTCAGGGTACGTACGCTATCGTGCATAATCCAGTCGTCAAAAGCGGCGTGAAACGGCCATTTTCAGGTGCATGCAGCTTAGTCGAGGCGCGTTATTCAGGTGCATGCCAGGTTGCGTACACTTTTCTCAGGTTAAACAATTTCTCCCGTAAATGAATACGCAGTTCAAGATTCGATAAAAATTGACACAAAAGGTCTGAAATAGATGGAATTTCGGAATACGCAAATCGGAATCGGGATGATTGGCTTTCGATGCTGCATTTTCTGACGTAACTCAGTGCAATGATTGCATTTCTGCCCAGTTTCTACGCAATTTTTTGCTTCGCACCAAATCTTTTTGAACGGATTGTAATGCTAAATCGATTATACTGTTGGCGCAGGTGGCGGACGCTTCGCGGGTCAAATCAGCAAACTCTAGTGGGACGTGCATTGCTTGAAAAGGGTAGTCCGAAACACGATAAATATGCCCGAGTGTTAAGAGTGAGTTACCCCTACCGCTATTAAGGATATATCGTATGTTACATGTATATTTAATGCCACGTAATTAAGGCCGTTGAATACCACCTATTTCAATATGCACGTACGGCAAACTTAGTTTGGTAGAGGCAAAATATACAAACACTCACGAAGGGTTTGCTGATTTGCCATGCGCAGCGTCCGTCATCTGCGTCAAAAGTACAACAGATCTAGCATTAGATTCGTTCGAAATGAGTTGGTGCAAAGCAGAAATTTGCGTATAAATTGGACAAAATGCAATCATTGCACTGAGTTACGTCAGAAAATGCAGCATCGAGAGCCAACCATTCCGATTCCAATTTGCGTAGCCCGAAATTGCATCTATTTCAGACCTTTTGTGCCAATTTTAATCGAATCTTGAACTGCGTGTTAATTTACGAGAGACATTTTTTAACCTGAGAAAAGTGTAAGCAACCTGGCATGCACCTGAATAACGCGCCTCGACTAAGCTGCATGCACCTGAAAATGGCCGGGCGTGAAACACTATCTCTGAGTTTTGCTCAAATCCTTGAAAGCGCGTTTCGTTTTATTATCGCCACGTGACAGCACTACGATCGCGCAAAGCGCGTTCTGTTTTATTTTGGGTTTTTAGTTATTTCGGAAGGGGTACTTCCGACCCTGCGCTTTCTAGGGAGCTTCATCTCTACCTGCACAGTTTCCCAGGTTTCGAGGCTCAGGCAGAAGACTTATTGCGCTGAGACAGAACTCGTCTCCACATTCACCCGCGTGTTATCATCTCGTAAGCCCTTTGCTGCTGCTGGTCAGGCAAACGGTGCACAACATTTTTTTTTCTCTCTATCAGCACTAAACTAAATCCCTCTCGGCTGGCAAGTGATAGAGAGCATCAACCCTAAACACTGCGACTAAGTGTTTAGGGTTGATGCCAAAAATAATCCCTCTTGGTTGGCATGTAAATAAAGGGCATCAATCCTAAACACCTAATCGCGTGGAGTTTAGGGTTGATGCCCTCGAAAACTTGCCACCCGAGAGGGGTTTAGTTTTGTGCTTGCTGGCAGAAGACACCCGATGAAAACAGTGCTTGCGTGACGTGCGGAGAAGCCGAGTTCTGGGCCCTGTTCGGCAGGCATTATGGCCATTATCGCCATTATGGGCATTTTTAATGGGCCCCCAAAAAATGGCCCCAAGAAACAGACTGTAGCTGCAGTGAAACTTCGTAAAAAATGGCCTGAGTGTTCGGTTTGCATTAAATGGGCCAAAATTAATGGCACCAACCGGAAAAGATACTGCTGAGAAGCCCGTTGCAAAGCGTGGAATCACTGTACGGGCAGTCCGGGCAGACCTGTAAAGCAGTGGTGGACGTCGAAAAAAATTGCGCAAGGCATACTGTGCGTTCGATGTGTTAGAGATGGTGTGTTGGTGATGTGCGATTTTCCAGCGGGCACGAAGAGAGGTGAGAAAGACCAGGATTTGTTTTTTTCAAGGCAAAGTGAGATTGCCCCGAATCAATGATCCCCCGCATGGTGCGGGACCTCGAGGCCGCATGGTGCGGCGGATGAGAAAATGGACAGTTTGCCTGAGAAAAGGGGCTCGAGGAAGGCTCCTCTTGTGAAAAATGCCAGCGCTAGAAGGGGTGTTCGGCTGGCATTCCATTATTGTCTGGTTCGGCGATGATCCGCTTATATCGAGCCTAGATAACCTTTCGCGCGCTTATCAACGAAGGTTAGAGGGTGGTCGTTTCACTGTAGCCCATACGGGGAAACCGTTTTTTTAATGCCTGCCGAACTGGGCCCTGTGTTAGCACAGTAAGAGAGCGTTCCCACAGTACCCGACAAGAAAGTCTGCCCACGCGGCTCGCAATTTTCCAAATTTCGAGAAATTTGCCAACATGCGGCTCGAAGTTCGACCACCAAGTTTCCCATCAAATTCGTCGTGCGAGTGTTCATCCACAGCCGTATACGATCTCATCTGATGGCTCACGACGCCTACCGAAATGGGCTACGACTCCACCCGCGATTTTGTGTCATTGCCCGAAGTTCAGCTGCCCAGTTTCTGAGTCAACGCCATTCAATAGCAGAAATGGTTCAGTGCGCCTCAGAATGTTTTGTTTTCACATTTTCGGGCACCGTTTTACGCGGGAGTCAGAAATCCCAACCAAATCGTTGAGTCCATCCGATTGTCAGACGTGAAGGTCTATTGGGTGCGACTAGATTATTTACGTGTGTGCTGGTCAGAAGGTCGCAATTTGGTCGTAACTGCTCGCAAGGACGCGGTGTCCAGAGTGGGGCAGTACCCCACTCTGACCACCATCCCGACAATTTTTGAGCCTGATGGGCAAACTTCGGTGTCGGGAAACTGTGGGAACGCCATCTAACTCTTCCGCCTCAGAAGCGGATCAGCGGAAAGTGTGCGCAAGCTGAGATGAAAGTCCCTTGAAAGAAGGACAGCTACAGTAAGCCTTCCGGGGAAACTTAAACCCTAATAAACTCGAGCGTTTTGAATTCGGAAAGTGCCCTCTCCGCCTTCCCTCCTCTTCCCCCCGCTCGCCCCCCGCGCCACTACAGTAGTCGTTTTATCTTCTCCCCCCACCAAGCAAAGATCCCACAAGCGGAATATCAAGTGCTCGAATGCCAGCCACAGTCCACACAACCCAATCCCAATGCGTTTCGTGATTTGCGCTCCACCAATCCCATACTGCCGTTCGTTCCGCCCCATTCTTGAACATGTGACGAGGAGTCCGTGGCGCCTCAAATGGGGGAATGGTTCCGAACCGCATGGCGGAAAGCCGTTTGCTGCAGCAAAGGGAAAACGACTTGACTGCGCGTTCTCTTCCACAATGCTCCTGAAATACTCGCTGCAGAGTGCCCTACCTCTGTATAGTGGGATTTAACTAAAATTCACGTTAATATTACATCTTAGAGCTTGATTCTGTATCTATTGCCGGGCATCCACTTCATCATGTGCCCACTTTTCAACAACCGTTCTTGGAGTCCAATCATCCTCTTTAGTCGCCACCTCATTTGCTAATAACGCCCCCAACAACGCAGCCCTCAGGGCCTCGTCCCTATGCCGACCCACCATCGACCACACATGCCGAACCTGACGACCCTCCGGACCAGTGAGCTCCAGGTACGGCACGACCACCAGGTGTTTTGCAAAGCGTGGTGCAATGCGGTTGAGACGGTTTTGCTCCCACGTGGCTTCCTGTAAGTGACGGTTGGAAGGTTCCTCGTTATACCAAGTGTCCAGAAACTGAGGGGAAGGAAAACAACCAAAACATATGAAAGTAGGGAGGGAAATGGGGGAGGAGGGGAGGGGGAAAGGGTGGTGAAAAGAAAGGGAGCCAAAGGGAGTATATGTGAAGAAAACTGTAGCAAGAAAAACTATGGATTCATGTTGCCGGGTAGCAAGACCAAGTTTGGAAACGACTCATATAGGGTAGGGTAAGAGCAGCACAGCTTCCTTTTCTGCAAGGGGGAGGCATCAAGACGGCACGCACGCAATGCAAGCTGGCACGTGACAGGAACACCACCTGAAAAGGACCCTGACGGGCACCTGATGAGAGAAGGGTACCTGGAGAGCGGGGAGGAACTCGTTCTGGAATTATCATCCCCACTGTGATCAACCCTAAAGAAGCGCTATAGAGAGCGGCATGGGTCTATTCATGGTTTGCTCCTAAGAAACAACGCTGGACACCGGTCGCAATCAGTTTTAAGAATTCTCGAAAGTGATTTTGAGAAACAATGCTGGATACCAGTCGCCCACATGGAAAGTGAGCCGGGAGCGTCTCAGCAGCATGATCCCCCGCACTGATTGACTCTAAAAAGGCTTTAAAAAGAGCAGAGGAACTTGAACAAGACCAAAGACTAAACGCCTTTGCCCACCTGGAAAGTGAGGGGGGAGCGCCTCAGCAGCATAACCCCTGCATTGATCGACTCCAAAGAGGCATTGAAAAGAGCAGCCGGGGCACCATTCTCCTCCCCTGAATTCCGGGCAAACAGACCAATCAGCTCCTCGGAGGACTCCTCTGCGCATGGGGCAGCAGGCGATTGGCTGCAGGCTGCCACGTCAGCAGGCGGGGGATCCAGCAGGCCAATGGGGAACTGCGGCATCCACGTCTGATTGGTGAGGTCCGTGCCGTAGCGATCCCTTATCCAGTTGAACGCTCCCTGGTAGGGTGCAGTGCAGGGAGCAGTTGAGGGAAAGAGCATTTGGAGAATTCTCAAGAGCACATTCTAGCATTCATGTCTGATTGGTGAGGTCCATGCCGTAGCGATCCCTTATCGAGTTGAACGCTCCCTAATGGGGTTCAGGTGGGCAGAAAGGTGCGCAGGGAAGTGGGCAGAAAGGTGCGCAGGGAAGTGGGCAGAAAGAAACGTTGAGAAGCGGGCAGCAAACGGGGCAGAGAAGCAGGCACGAGGATGGCAGCCCCTGGGATGATATGCTGACCGTGAAGGGCAGTCCTGCAAGCCAGGCTTCAATAGGCAGGCGGTGGTTGTCCATTCGGAATAGGCGTCTGAGTCGAGATATAAGGCCCAAGCGTGGCAGCATGGGAGCTTGTGGGGAGTTGGGGATGGGCACTGACATGTGCAGTGGGATGGTTACTGACCGTGAAGGGCAGGGAAGCGAGCCAGGCTTCAATAGGCAGGCGGTGGTTGTCCATTAGGAAATAGGCATCTGAGTCGAGATAGAATGCCCAGGTGTGGCAGATGCTTTAGAGCGAGTTGCGTTGGGAGACCCAGCAAGAGACGCACACAAGTTGCGGGTAGGGTACTGACCGTGAAGGGCAGTCCAGCAAGCCAGGCTTCAATAGGCAGGCGGTGGTTGTCCATTCGAAGATAAGCGTCTGAGTCGAGATAGAATGCCCAGGCGCAGCAGCAACGCAGCTGATCCCGAATGAACAGCAGCTGGAAGGAGCAGGGGGGGTGAGGGTGGGGGCTGTAGAAAGCTGGTGAGGCTAGTGAGGTGTGAGGTTACAGAGATAAGTATCTGAGTCGAAATAGAAGGCCCAGGCACAGCAGCAGCGCAGCTGACTTTTGAGTCGACTCAGAAGTCACCTCGTTCCGATAGAAGGCCCAGGCACACCAGCAGCGCAGATGATCCCGAATGAACAGCAGCAGCTGAACGGCCAAAGAGAACAGGAGGGGAAGTGGGAGGGAGGAGAGGGAGGGGGAGCGAGGGAACACTGGTGAGGCAAGCGGCACAGGACAGTGCAGCAGCGCAGAGCGTCTGAGTCGAGATAGAAGGCACAGGCGCAGCAGCAGTGCAGCTGATCCCGGATAAACGGCAACTGAAAGGCAAAGGGGAAAAGGAGGGGAAGTGGGAGGGAGGAGAGGAAGGGGGGCCGAGGGAACGCTAGTGAGACGAGCGGCACAAGGGTGGAGTCTCAGAAACAGAGCGTCTGAATCGAGATAGATGGCCCAGATACAGCAGCAGTGCAGCTGATCCCGGATAAACGGCAACTGAAAGGCAAAGGGGGCGAAGAGCAGGGAGGAGAGAGGAAGAAAAGTCAGTGAGGCTAGTGAGAGGGGTCGGTGGTTTCTTGAGTTGCTTTCGAGGCACGAGGGTATAACTGGGTTAATTTCGAGAGGGTGGGGCTACGATGAGAGGGGGGGTTTAGGACGAGGGGCCTACAAAACAATTAGGCGAGAACACTAGTCAAATACGGGAAACATCCTGATACGGCGAGAAAACTACTCAGATGCGGGAAGCATCCATGCATTGGAATGGTTACCCCTGCCGTTGCCCGCAACGCACCTTGAGCCACGATGGGCGGCGAGTCTCGTTGTATTCCCGCGTGTCCTGATTCCTTTTGAGTCGACTCAAAAGTCACCTCGTTACCCTGCCGTTGCACTGCACACGAAACACACCTTGAGCCACGATGGGTGGCGAGTTTCGTTGTATTCCCGCGTGTCTTGGTTCACGTAGCGGTAGCCATGGCGGTTGGCGTATAGCCTGGCAGGCATTGGAGAGGGGAGAGAAGAGGAAGAGTCCTGAGACGTGTAAGGAATTGCCCTTGGGGCAGCCATTGTAAGGAATTGCCCTGCCCATTCCCCCTCCCCACTACCTTCCCCCTTCCCCACTCCCCAGCCCCCCTCCCCCACTCACTGGTTGATGGCCTTAGAGGCCATCCAGAAGGGCAGGGAGCGGCCGTTCCCCATCCCCACTACCCCCCCTTTCCCACTGCCTCCCCTCCCCCTCACACCACCACCACCACTCGCCAACCCTCAGCTCACTGGTTGATGGCCTTAGAGGCCATCCAGAGGGGCAGGGAGCGGCCGTTCTTCTCAAAGTAGTCATACCCTGCCGCCTCCACATAGTCCCTCGCCTGCCTGCTGTCACTCTGCAGTATGCACCCCGGCAGCTGCGAGCTACCTACTAGCGCCACCCACCCACCCACTCACCCACCCCCACCCATGGGTGCACGTGCTAGCGCGCGTGCACACACACACACACCCACACCCACGCACGCAAACTCACTGGTTGATGGCCTTAGAGGCCATCCAGAAGGGCAGGGTGCGGCCGTTCTTCTCAAAGTAGTCATACCCCGCTGCCTCCACATAGTCCCTCGCCTGCCTGTTGTCACTCTGCAGTATGCAACCCGGAAGATGCGATTTTCTGCCACCATTGACGTTCCCCACAGCACCAGCAGTGCCAGCAGCACCAGCAGCAATTTCCTTCCTCAACCTGCTGATGCTGCTGCTGCTGCTGTTGGCACTGCTGCCGCCAGTGTTGCTGCTGCCTGCATCTGAATGGCAGTCAGTCCAGTCTAGACCGGGGTGAGGCTCTGTGATTCGGAAGTGTCAGGGTGAAAACGGAAGGAACGATCAAAGATGACTTTTGAGATGCCTCAACCATAGCCAGGGTGGACTTGAAATTCGGTGAAGCGGGGAAAACAACAAGAGAGAGATTAGGAGACTATTTAAAAATAGACGGGAAGAGTCATAGTGCGGCAAGAATGGTTATTTACAGAGAGCATGGTTGGTGCAATTTCTACACATCCCATTATTCATCCATCTCTTGATGTATATGTCCGTCCACACACATGCGAAGCAGACTTTGTGTGCATACCATATATCAATCTTTCAAGTCGATCAACAACTGCTGAAACGCGTGAAATTCGAGCGTCCAGGCGTTCTCTCAACAAGGCCACTTCCTCCTGCATGCATACAGGTTGGGGAACCGGGGTGCAGAGGGGTACAGAACGGTTCAGGGAATGAGAGTGAGTTGCTGCCCATGAGAGTGAGCTGCCGTGCATGCTTTAGGTCTGAGAGTGAGTTGTGAGTCATGGGTACTCAATGGTCTTTGTGCATGTGCTTATGCTGCAATCGCCTTCGTGTAAACTGCCAGGAGCTAGCGTTGCAGTACAACGGTGTGTTTGTTCACAAGGAAACCGTTGGAGAGATTAAAGAGAGAAGAGAAAAGAAGGGAAAAGGGAAGGCAGACGGCCAAAGCAGGGACGCTTTGGTATCGCATGGGAAAAGAAGGGAGAACTGTAGCGTGGGAAAGAGAGTAGGACATAGAATGACAGGGCGTACAGTTTAAAAATGTGAGCCTCGATAATAAGCAAGGCAACATCAATAATTAAGATAAACGCAATCGTAATATTAATATTGCGAGCATAACCGCTCTTAGAAATTTCTGGCGAAAACATTACCGCCAGATGGGAGTGTTGTCGATGCAGCAAGGGAAGGCAGACGGCCAACGCAGCGACGCTTAGAACAGTGAGAGTGAGCGATCGCCATGAGAGAAAGGCAGAGGAGGAGGTGACGGAGGAGGCAGAAGCGGCGGAGCGGGAGAGGGAGGAGAAGGAAAGAGTCGGAAGGGAGGAGGACCGTGATGGGAAGGAGGGGGAGGAGGAGGAGAACGACGAGGAGGGCTTAGGAGGCATCGCAAAGAGAGGGCCCTTTCGGGATCCAAGGGACGCGTGATCGCGAGATCACGAGCGCGCGGTGTTTTTCCTACCGACGAGAATCATCGCGCAGTGCACTTTCCTCGAGTGACGCTGGGAGGGGTGGATGGGAGCCAGTGGTGGGTACGCGAGGAGTTTTAGTTATGCTCTACTTAGTAGTGCGGTGTGAGAGCTGTCGAGTATCTTCCAGTTGACTAAATCCACATCTAGAGCAGGGTGCGGGGCACGGGAGACTTCCCGCAGACGCGTCCTACAGGCCAGCTACTGGACCAAGCAGGGAACCACGATGCGTCATCGACTATTGTTCTACGTTAGAGTCCCTTGTAGCGCAAGGACGGCCCAACGCGCTCCGCAGGCTCGAGCGTAGGGACCGTCAACTGCGATGCGTCGTCTACTAGGACGGCAGGTGAGAAGTCCTTCGCATCCGTTTTGTCGGAGATTTTTGCTCAAACCCGCGGAAGCGCGGTTTGATTTATTTTTGCCACGTGGCGAGCCTATGATCGCGTGAACCGCGATCTGTTTTATTGTTATCACAAACTTTAAGAGAAACTGAGTTAAGTGCTGTACTGTGCTGCCCGAGGGCAAAATAAAACCCTCATGTGTAAGGCATGCGTTAGGGATGCATCAACCCTAAACACCTAGAGGCAAGGTGTTTAGGGTTGATGCCTCCCTAACGCATGCCAGGCCTGAATGGGTTTATTTTTGCCCACGGGTAGCACAGTACAGAACTTAACTAAATTTCTGTTGAAGTTTGTGATAACAATAAAACAGATCGCGGTTCACGCGATCGAAGGCATGCCACGTGGCAATAGTAAAACAAACCGCGATTCCGCGAAATTGAGCAAAACACTCGTTTTGTCGCCCTCATGGCAAGAATCGCTTCGCATCCCCTTCACGTCTGTTTACTGTTTCGCGCACAATTTCTAACGAAGCTACAACGAATTTTTTTATCCAGCTTCTCATTCAAAAAAATGTATCTTATCCAAGCATTGCCTAGCTGCTCTGAATATTCAGTTATGTATCTTGTAGGACCACCCGTATGTATTGATTCCATTTATTTTTTATTTTGTTTATTCTGCTGGTTTACCTGCATATGCCTTTCGTATGTAATGTGTTAAGTCAGTTTCACTGTTCAGAATTCGACATAAGCGGGGAATTGCATAGGTTCGTTCGGGTCGGGCCGCGACAATGTCGCGCAGGTGTGCGGCGAATCATCTCGTACATTCTCTGTACTGTCTAACACGGTAAGATGCGGTTTTAGCCAAGTGCCCGCTAACCTCTTCGAACCGTAATCGAACATAACAATACCGCTATACACACTTCGATTCCCAGCAGCCGAGGGGAAACAACGTCGTTCAAAGCAGCACCGACAAGCCCCGCCATTATTGAAGCGCGCATTGAGCAGATAAACGTCAGTCAAAGTAGCACCTCTGGCATGAACCTCGTTGAAGTACTTTCAGGGAAACACATGGACATGTAGTTGTTGAAATGCCGGGCCAGGTGTTCCCCGACGCAACGTCGATCTACAGCCATGACGCGACGCGACTCCAACGGAGCTGGTTTTATCGTGGGTGCGGCAGCGCGCGTTATCGTTTCCTAGGTACATAAGAGTACGTGATCACCCTGAAGGTATCAGATAATCTAGCTTCCCAAATTCGTGCCAAAGCTACTCATTACCGCTGATACTGAAGTCCTAGTATTGTCTAAGTCAAAAATAGGCGTCCCCCAGCTATGGAAAATCTATCCAAATCCCTGCTGTTCGCTCTCTCAATTATATTCGTCTGCCTCTCGTTGTTCCCCCCCGCATTCGCTGGCCGGATACACGTCGCTCTCACGCGACAGGCTCACGAGCAGCACCTTCGTCAGCTACAGCTTAGCGACCGTGAGCGAAAACTTACCGACGTCGTCCACCGTGGCTCCGAGCCTCCGCTGCACCTGTTCGAATCAAAAGCAAGCTTCGACGAGGAGCGACGCGAGGAGGGACAACAGGGAGGCTCGTTGGACGATTTGTTAGCCACTCCCATCAAATACCACGGTGGTCCCGTGCTGAGCGGCCAGACGCTTAATATATACCTAATATACTACGGGTACTGGCCAGCGGAAATCGGCCAGAATGTGATCGAGAACTTTATACAGTCGCTGAGTCTGAATAGCTCCGATGCTCAGGGGGGAGCCGGGGATCCGAAAGTGAGCAATTGGTGGGCGACGAGCTCGAAATACTACTCGAAATCATCCGACGGGTCTAGAGCAAATGTCAGCCAGGAGGTATGTGCAAAAAATGGTACTTTCTGGACGAGGAGATGGTGCGGCATCGGGCAAACAGAGCTCGAATGCGCACAACCATTGTTCCATGGTTGCAAATGACGGTTTAGCGCGCTACAGTAGAGCTTAGTGCTGGCTACAGCAGTTTCCGACGGGGATTTAAAGATCTTATGTCCACCCCCTGAGTTCGCAGGTGAAGCTCGCAAGGGTAGTCTACGACCAAGGGTCTCAAGGAAACAAGTTTGACTACAAGACTCCCTGGAAAGGTGTGCTTTCTTTTCCAGCAGACGCTTCTTAGTTTTTGTTACAAATACCCGCATTCCGATCATTTGCCGACACCACGTTGTACCTTCTTCTGCACTCACTTGTTACGTACCCTGGATCATAATAATCGCATACACCTCTACTATCGCAGTTGTTATGAGCAAGATCGGCGACGGAAAGCCGTTCCCCTACGACGCCAATGGCATTTACATAATTCTCACCGGCAATAACGTGGATATTCCTGGCTTTTGCAAGAAATTCTGCGGGTGGCACACGATGAATCGTCTCGGCGGGTCGAAGCCTGTCGCGTATGCCCTCGTGGGTCATCACGGATTGTGCCCGGCAAGCTGCGGGGCGAAGCCGACTTCGCCCAACGGAAAGCCCTGGCTCGACGCGATGGTTTCGACGGTCGCTCACGAGATCGCGGAGGCTGCGACGGATCCTGATGGCGGCAGCGGCTGGATGGACACTAAAGGTGAGGAGAACGCTGATAAATGTAGCTACAGCTACGGAGTTACGCAAACCGCTCAGAACGCAAACGGTGAGGATGCAGAGTACAACCTGGTGGGGCTCAACGATATGAAGTTTCTGGTGCAGCAGAACTGGGACGTCGCGACGGGCGCGTGCGTACCGCAGACAACGGCATAGGGGATGTGGCGGCAGGCTCTTGTGTACAGCAGACGACTGAATAAGGGATGCAATGATGGATTGTGTAGCGTCTGCGGTGAGCTGACAAGAGAAAAATGCGCGACGCGAACCGCCTTAGGTGGTTCTCGAACAGAAGTTACATGGAGTAGGTGACCCAGCCAAGCTGTGCGGCTAGCTCTCTACTGTATTCTCCATCAGGAACAATTTAGTTCATCCCCACACTCTTGTAACATTTTCACAGTAATGACTAAGAAATGTTAAAAAAAACCGACTACTTCCCAGCAATAAAAAATATCTTTTTGGCTGAATTTTGTGCCACATTGATTAATGATTATTCAATGTGCACTATTAAGCCTTTCCTGTTCGTGAGTGCGTATTCTTTTGTTTTTTCAAATAGCAAATGTTGACGTTGTGTATGTTTTGGCAAGCTTCCAACTGAATTGCTTTCTATTTGTAGTATCGACTTGGGTTCAACCTCCTCGGATGATGGACATTCAGCAAGGTGACCGCTGACGTCAGCACTTCATGAATTTGAGCTTGCGGTGCGAATAGAGACGAAAGACAAGCACCGTGACATCGAGCCGCGATAATCTTCGGGCTCTGTGTGTGTGGGGATCGTCTTGCTCTCTTCACACGGTGGAAAGCGGTTCTGACAAGGCTAGAGGACCGCTTTGAACCGTACTGCGCCCTAGCTACAACCCTACCCACCCTTCCGTGCCCCTGGTTCCAACAGCAAAAACGTCGTTGAAATAAGACGCCGCCTGCAATTATTGGAGCTCAGAGCCGAACGTCCTCTCGTCAGCTGACCAGGAGGGGGACCTGGTGGGATTCGACCCACCAGGGCCCGGATGGACTGCAAGTCACATACATCATAGATTTAGCAGACACCCTCTGCTAGAGCGCCCCGTGACCGCGACGTCGCACTACAACCGTCGCGCGGCACCCGCGAACCTTCTCATCGTGGGATTAACGTGGGTAAAGCAGCGCGCAATCTTGTGACATTCAGAATAAAACACTGCATCATGGTGATGCTAGGCATCAAATTATCAGCCTGTTCATTCGCAAACTGAGCTTCTTATCAGCATTAGACCGCCTGAACGTCAGGATTTGCTATTACCAACCTTGCCGTCCCCAGCCATGACGAGACTCCTCAAATACCTGCTGCCCGCTCTAGTGTCGATGCTCGTCTGCCTCTCGTTGTTCCCCCTCGCATACGCCGGTCCGGTGCGCGTCGCACGCACGCGACAGGCGCACGACGAGTACCTCCGCCAGCGACAGCTGAGCGACCGTGAGCGAAAGCTGACCGACATCGTCTACCGCGGCTCACTGCCTCCTGTGCACCTGGTCGAAACAAAATTCAGCTTCGACAAGGAGCGACGCGAGGAGGAACAACGCAATCAGGGAGGTGCCGCGTCGTCCTCCAAAGCGACTCCCATCAGATACCACGGCGGCCCAGTGATGAGCGGCGAGACGCTGAACGTATACTTAATATACTATGGCTCCTGGCCGGTGGGATCCGGACAGGATGTCATTGAAAACTTCATCCAGTCGCTGAGTCTAAGTGGCTCCGATGCGCAGGGGGAAGCTGGGGATCCGAAAGTGAGCAACTGGTGGGCGACGAGTACAAAGTACTACGCGCAGGCGCAAGACATGTCTTCGAACATCGTCAGCTCGGAGGTACGTGACATCGGGCATGCAGTAGCTCGGAAGCACTCGGTTTGTTCGAAGGTTGCAAACGACGGTTTGGCGAAAAACAAGAGAAAAGGAACAACCGTAGAGCTTGGAACTTGCTGCATTTGCGGAAGTTGCGACGGATTGAACTATGTCTACGAAGTTCGCCAAACATTTTCATACATTTTACTAAACGATGTCTTTACCGAGTACAATCCCCTGCCATTCGCAGGTGAACCTCACCAAGGTTATTTGGGACAAAGGGTCTCGCGGAAAGAAGCTCGGCCCCAGAGGTCCCTGGAAAAGTGCGTTTTCCTCCCACCACAGTTGTTTTCCTCTCATCCTGTCTCCTCTTTGTTTCCAAAAATCTCGTCATTCCACTTACCTCTTTCTAACCAGAATAGTACTAACTTCTTGCCCCTAGTTTCTTCACAGTTGTCAAGAGCAGGATTGGCTCGGGAAAGCCGCTCCCTTACGACGCCAACGGCATCTACCTGCTTCTCACCAGCAAGGACGTGAAAGTCGCTGGCTTTTGCACACAATACTGCGGGTGGCACACGATGGACTATCTCGGTTCCAAGCCCGTAATTTATTCCCTCGTGGGTCATCACGGAAGGTGCCCGAAAAACTGCGGGGCGCAGAAAACTTCGCCCAACGGGAACCCCGGGCTAGATGCGACGATCTCCACGATTGCTCACGAGATTGCGGAAGCTGCGACAGATCCTGACGCTAGCACCGGGTGGTTCGACGCTAACAATGAGGAAAACGCCGATAAGTGCAGCTACTCCTACGGAGCGACGCTAACTACTCAGAACGAAAATGGTCAGGGTGCAAAGTACAACCTCGTGGGGCTCAACAATATGACATTTCTGGTGCAGCAGAACTGGGACCTGGAGACGGACTCTTGCGTCGTGCAGGGGATTCAATGATGAACTGTGAAGAGGGCGATGAGGAATTGCGAAACTGGAAAGGAACGGATATCTGCAGCCTAGGCCATGCCTCTCCAAATAAGCCGCTGCAGCCGTAGTGGCGGTTTGCGATAAAAGGCTCAATAAGAGCCTGAAGTGATTGTCGAACAGTTGTTAGGGAATTGGGGTCTGCTTTGTTTACGATTACAATCTGAGTCCCATTCTGTTTATCCAATCTAGGGACTGTGTTTCATCAAACATCTGACCCAGCCAACTCAAACATGGCGTTCCTGTATTGAAATTCTCAGAGCTATTTCACCTCCACGTTTTCTCCCTCTAATTTCCACACACTTCAACCCTAAACGCTTTACCTATCTAGTTTCACTCACTACTCTCATTCTCTTCCTTTACAGGCCCTTATCTTATAAATCATGACTTAGTTTTTGTATTGATCCCTATTGAAACACAGTTCATAGCAATCACAAATGGGTCAATCTTTTCATACGATTTTTCTTATATACTGAGAAGACATTCGACATTTTCTTATACAATGGTTCTATCTGAGTAATTGTTGCTGCATATGAATGTAGATAGTAATCTTGTTGTCAATGTCTCTCAACTTTCCTATTTATTTCTGTTTCTGGAGGCCTTCTTGCTATTGCTGTATTCTTCAACGTGTAGCCTCATGTCAGTGTAACTATTCGGTGTCAGCCCTACCGGATCTCGTGCTACCCAAAACTCGGGACTACGGTACTCAGTGGTTACCAAAACTCGGTACAATTCGGTGGTATCCAAAACTCGGTTCGGTACAATTCGGTGCTATTTAAAACTCGGTAAAATTCGGTGGTGTCCGGCTCGCAACAAATCCATCAATTCAGTCGAGTCGCGTCAATTTTTGAAAGGCTGTTTACTACCAGCTAAGACCGCTTTGTACCATGGGGATTATCTACGAATCTGAACATCAGCATCACCCACCTCCCACAATTATTGCATCCTGCACAAAGCCCCCCAGGAGCAAATACAAGTACATATAATTGCGTAGCGGTCCGCGCGACGTCGCTCCGCAGCCGTGTCGCGGCTCCCAATGATGCCGAGTTACGCTATTTTCTAGTTAATATGATGCCAAGCCATGCTGACAAACATCATATTTACATCGTCTGCATTCGCAGATTAAAGCAGTCATCCGTGAAAATACACATCCTCAGTTACTACGAGTAGCCCTCCCGAACAAATTTTGGCGACAACCAAACATGGCAAATCTTCTCAAACGCTCAATCCTGCTGCTCGTTCTTTCGCTGATGCTCGTCTGCCTCTCGATGTTGCCCCCGGCATTCGGAGGCACGAAGCGCATCTCTCGCACGCGTCAGGCGCACGACGATTACCTCCGTCAGCGACAGCTGAGCGACCGTGAGCGAAAGCTGACCGACATCGTGGAGCGCGGCGATCGCCCTCCCCTGCACCTGGTCGAAACAAAAGCCGCTTTCCTCAAAGATCAGCGCGAGCAAGGCGGCAAATCATCGACCATTCCCATCCAATACTGGGGCGGTCCCGTGTTGAACGGCGATACTTTGAACATATACGTGATTTATTATGGATTCTGGCCCGCGGGAGTCGGGCAGAACCTGATCGAGAATTTCATTCGGTCTTTAAGCTTAGGAGGCGCTGATGCCCAGGGACAGGCCGGGGATCAGACGGTTTGCAAGTGGTGGGCGACGAGCACGAAGTATTACTCGGAAACGACTGGCACGACGACGACCGTCAGCTCACAGGTGCGTTGTTGGTGTCAGATTCTGGGCAGAAGTCCTCAGCACCATCTTCGTGGCGCGACATTGGCAAGCGATGTAGTTTGGAGGTACCCCAGAGAGTTTTGAAGGTTTAAATTCACACACTTCACGTAACAGAATTTGACCATTCAGGGCGTAGAACGGCCAGAGGAATTGGAGAGAATAGGTTTTTTTCATCGAGTTATTGCGACATCGTTCTGATTCTCCTATATTAAGCCCTACGTCCACCTCCCCAGGTGAACCTCGCGAAAGTTATCTACGACAAAGGTTCCCGCGGGAGAAATTTTGGTGAAAATACGCCTTGGGAAGGTGCGTTCTTGATTTCTTCAACACGACTATTTTCTTTCCCAACGGTTATTTTCTTTTCTGCGTGTAAATCCCGTATGTTTTCGACATTGCTTCATGTTCGACATTGAACAGCTGGTTGTCAAGAGTAGTACTCATCTCTCACCCCTCTTTTTATCGCAGTTGTCAAGAGCAAGATTGGCGACGGATTGCCGTTCCCTTACGACGCCAATGGCATCTACCTACTTCTCACGAGCAAGGACATTAAAGTCCCCGGCTTTTGCACACAGTACTGCGGGTATCACACTATGGATTATATCGATCAGGACGCTGTCGCGTATTCCCTCGTGGGTCACCACGGCAAGTGCCCGCAAAACTGCGGGGGGAAGAGGTTTTCGCCCAACGCGAATCCCGCGATTGACGCGACGATTTCGACAATCGCTCACGAGATCGCGGAAGCTGCGACGGATCCCGACGCGTCAACCGGCTGGCTCGATACGGATAAGGAAGAAAACGCGGATAAGTGCAGCTACACTTACGGGAAGACGAAAACGGTCCGCAACAAGAAGGGCAAGAACGCAAAATACAACCTCGTGGGGCTCAACAATATGAAGTTCCTGGTGCAACAGAACTGGGACTTCGGAACGGACTCATGTGTGTCGCAGACGACTGGATAGAAGATGCAGCGATTGATCGTGGGGAGGGGATCCGAGGCGCGGGTGACGGGGAGGAGTGCGCGGCTGGAAAGGAACGGGTGAGATGTTTGGATGCGAACACCTGCATCGTCGATACCAAGGATAAGCTTGTGCTGCGCTAAGGAATAAGAGTCGCTGGAGTCGTAACAGCAGTGTACGACTAACAGCCCAATTAGTGCTTGTTGTGAGTGAGTACTTTGTTTTGTCTGTGAGAAAAGTTATTATTAAAACCGAGATATAAAATAATGAACCCCGTCCCATCTTGAAAGTGTGCCGCAGGGCTCGGTCCGATACAACACTGTTCCGAACAAAACGACTAGCACTTTGAACAAATGTGATTGGCTCTCACCAATCTTGTCAGCACTGTCAAACAATATGTTCAATATATACCCTGCGTGCTGTAGTTACTGTAGTTATTATTATTAAGAGTTGGTGGTGCACCTTCTTTGTTGCTTTGCTATATGTACCTTGTGTGCTATAGTGAAACCCCTTCTTCTTTCTCGTAACTCTCTTGGCACAACTCCCTCGACACCCCTTGGCCTAGGCTCCTAAGCCTAGGCCCTCCTAAACTCATACGTCCCTATCTTGACATGTTATCAGAGCCACCCGTTCCTCGGGTTTAAGTCTTCTTTCTTTACCCATGGTGAGCGCCTCGCTGGCCCGTCGCGCTACGCTCGCCTCGTCGCACCCTCGCTGGCGAAATTGCGCTTTCCTGCCCGTCCGTCGTGCCCCGTGCGCTCTGCCCGTCCATCGCGGCCCCCCGTGCGCCTTGCCCGTCCGTCGCGCCTGTCGCCCTGCCCGTCGATCCGCGCCAGCGCCAGCACCTGCGACTGCCACCAGCCACAGTGCGGAACGCAAGCGCCAGCGCGGACGCTGTCGACGAGCGCCAGCGTCTGTGCGGACGACAAGCGCGAGCGCCAGCGTCTGTGCGGACGACAAGCGCGAGCGCCAGCGTCTGTGCGGACGACAAGCGCGAGCGCCAGCGCCTGCGCCAGCGCGGAGCGCAAGCGCCAGCGCCCGCGCGGACGCCAGCGACAAGCGCGAGCGCAAGCGCCAGCGCCCGCACGGACGCTAGTGACAAGCGCGAGCGCGAGCGCCTGCGCCACTGCCTGCGCCACCGCCAGCGCCAGCAGCAGCTACCGCCGCCCCCCCCCCCCCCCCCCCCCCCCCCCCCCCCCCCCCCCCCCCCCCCGCCCTCCCTTCCGCTGCTTCCGTCGTGGGGGGGAGGAGGGGGAGATGTGTGGGTGGCGTGTGTGAGCTGCCTGCAGCCCGTCCCTCCCCTCTCTCTTACTGCAGGGATTGTCGCCGTAGAGAAGGGGGGGGGGGGAGAGAAGTGCAGAAGGGTGAGGGGGTGGCGGGAGAAGACAGGTGCGGAAGGTGTGAGGTTGACGGGGTTGAGTGACGAGGGGGGTGAGGACTAAGGGGTTCTTAACGGGGGGGGATCGCATTGAGCGTGCGCGCTCATGCCCGCCTAGCCCACCTCCTCTCCTCATCGGGACTTGGGGGTTCTTAACGGGGGGGGATCGCTATGAGCTTTCGCGCTCAAGCCCGCCTAGCCCACCTCCTCTCCCTTCCCTCTCTCACCTCCCCTTTGTAAAAGGAGGTTCGTAAGCGGGTCCGCCGGTCCTGGCCCCCCACCTCCTCTCCTCTCCTCTCCTCTCCTCTTCTCTCCTCTCCTCTCACCTTCCTCACTTCTCTGCCTTCTTCCACAGCGCTTGGTTTGCTCGTTCAGGGGGTGCTGGCTGCACCAGTTTCTACTGCACGCAGGCTAAGGGGGTGTGTCAAACAATATGTTCAATATATACCCTGCGTGCTGTAGTTACTGTAGTTATTATTATTAAGAGTTGGTGGTGCACCTTCTTTGTTGCTTTGCTATATGTACCTTGTGTGCTATAGTGAAACCCCTTCTTCTTTCTCGTAACTCTCTTGGCACAACTCCCTCGACACCCCTTGGCCTAGGCTCCTAAGCCTAGGCCCTCCTAAACTCATACGTCCCTATCTTGACAAGCACTTGTTCCCGCCAAAATAATTTTACATGCCGATCTCCTCCGTCGCATGTCTACGTGCGACACCTGCACGACTCTTGCCTAGCGATGGTTTCCGTCGCCAGCACAACGTTGGTTTCAAGTTGGCACGGGGTTGCATGGCTAGCTACTCTCCAACCCGAAGTCTCTAGTATTATTCTTAGCACATTTTAGCTAAACCTAGGTGTTTGTGGCCTACGATAGTAACTTTCGACCATGCAGGAATGCTCAAGGCCGTTACGTAGCTTCGAATCGTATTTTTATTCCCTTCTGTAGTGAGTGTAGGCCGAGCTATTGGGGTTCAGAGTACAAAATCCATCTGGTATGTAAATTGTTGTAAAGGCAAATAGTTCGCTGTGTTTGCATCTTGGGGAATGAATCTGAAACCAGCCAGTGTTTCAAAATGCAGAATTGAAATACACCATCACAATTCAATTTAAGGTACAACTGGAGGGGTTTTTGTCACGTTCATCTGTTTGTCTCTGCTCTTGTTCGCCTGTTGTTTCCTATAACTGACAGCCTTGTTGGCAGGGCAAGTCGGGTTGCTACCAAACATTCCATCCACAAGCCTCACTTCTCGCCTTTCAAAGAACCAATCTGCAACAGCTTGAGCCATGGACTGCACGCAGAGAGAGAGAGAGAGAGAGAGAGAGAGAGAGAGAGAGAGAGAGAGAGAGAGAGAGAGAGAGAGAGAGAGAGAGAGAGAGAGAGAGAGAGAGAGAGAGAGAGAGAGAGAGAGAGAGAGAGAGAGAGAGAGAGAGAGAGAGAGAGAGAGAGAGAGAGAGAGAGAGAGAGAGAGAGAGAGAGAGAGAGAGAGAGAGAGAGAGAAAAAGAAAACATCCGTTTCCCATGGGAAATCGACTGAAGCGAATGGATGCTTCATACAGGTACATTGAGAAGAATACTACGTAAAAGAGGCACTAGAAAGTAGACGTCAGAGGAAGCAACTGCATCTACTGAAATAAAAACGGTGAAGAAATATGAGCACAGACCCTTGTAGAAGGGAGTGTCGGGAGATCACTCACCTGGTTTGATAGCAATGGGCCTCTGGTCCCATGCCATGACTCCCAGAGCGCCTGGAGAGGGAAAGAACGAAAAGATAAAGACACAAGGATAGTGAAATCAAAGGTAAGAGAGGGAGGTAACTTCTGAGTCAACTCAAAAGTCACATGGTTTGATAGCAATGGCCCTCGGGTCCCACGCCATGACTCCCAGAGCGCTTGCAGAGAAAGAAGGAAACAAGGAGAGTGGAATCCAAAGCAAGAGAGGGAGGTATGGTGACTATTGAGGTGCCTATAAAGTCGAGTCCCATGCCATGACTCCCAGAGCGCCTGCAGAGGGAAAGAAACACGGAGAGTGGAATCAAAGGCAGGAGATGGAAGCACGGTGCAAGGGAGGGTTTTAAGAGCAGGGGATGGGAGAGGAGGGGAGAGGCGGGAGGGAGGTTAGGGGTTTTGTATTTTGATGCATGAGAGAGGATTATATCAGGCAGAGTAGATACCCTATTTTATGCCTTGGAAGGAATATAGAGGGGTTACATCAGGATTATATCAGGATTATATCAGGGTTATATCAGGATTATATCTGGAATGATGCAGCACCAACAACCAGCTGACCACCAGCTTTAGGGATCATGTGTGCATGTGACATACCATGGTGTGCATGTGACATTCCATGGTGTGCATGTGACATACCATGGTGTGCATGTGACATACCATGGCGTTGTGCATGCGACATACCATGGTGTTGTGCATGTGACATACCATGGAGTGCATGTGACATACCATGGTGTGCATGTGACATACCATGGTGTGCATGTGACATACCATGGTGTGCATTTGACATTTGCATCATACCACAGTACAGTTTGCACACAACGTACCATGGTGTGCATGCAACATACCAAGGCTTCCATAAGGCACAAATAACGTACCATGGTGTGCATGTGACACGAGGCGAGAAAGAAACCATTCGGGCATCTCTTCACTGAAATCAGGCTGCCCTTTTCCCCTCTTCCTCCTCTCACCCCTCCCCCACCAGGTAGCCACCACTGCAACCATCTGCTGCCCCACTCTTGCCCTGACTGTCCCGAGCCTGGCTCTCCTGCTGCCTGCCACAGGTTCGGCACCGAAGCTAAGACCCGAGCCTGCATCAGAGGCTGAAGCTTCTTCACCATTTCGGCTCGGTAGGCTGCGGCAAGGGAAGGTCGTGAAGGAAAAGGTAACAAAACATCAATGATAAAAAGAATAATAACTACAATCAAAATACAACGCCTAAATTCTCCTTCCCCCCCTCTACCTATTCTCCAGAGTCCAGACAGATAATACCGTTTGGAGGGAGAAAGCCGGAACATGAGTCATAGTAGGCAGACAAGGCAGATGGGCAAACAACTCATCAAAGCTTGAAGCTTCTTCTGGACTAGCTAGTCACCCTCTCACGGTCCGACTTTTGAGCCGACTCAAAAGTCTTCTGGACTTGAAAATGATATTGATAAAACCTGAACAGTAAACCACCTACTAACGGTTCTTAATGATTGGATATTATAAAGCGTACAGCAAGAATGGGTAGGCAAGGGAAAGCGACTGTATGGCAGGTGAGGCAGAACAAGCCACACTCTCATTCTCATGGTTCTGTCTGACACTCCAGCTTGCACAAACACTTACTGTTTCCATAACAAACAAACAAACAAACAAACAAAAACATAAACAATTAGTAATAGTAGTAGTAATAATGACAATAATAATATGATAACAATACAAATACTAATAGAAATAATAATACTTATAATAGTAATAGTAATAGTAGTAGTAATTTTGATAATAATAATAATAACAGCATCAATTTCAAAAAAGATCCTGCTTGCACAAACGCTTCTTGTGGAATTTAAAAAGCAGGTGATCGGGGCAATCGTTCAGTGCTGGGAGTACTTTCGCGGCGTTATCTCTTGCACAAATACTCACTATGAAACTTTCTAAGTGCAATCTCTTGCACAAATACTCACTATGAAACTTTCTAAGTGCAATCTCTTGCACAAACACTCACTATGAAACTTTCGAAGTAGTTGTCCGGGGCAATCCTTCAGTGACACGCGGCAATCGTCCCACTGTTGGGACTTGAAGGATGCTGGGACGGCGAAAGAATAATTCACCTGATAAGCAAGCGATATTTACGGAGGGGTTGGGAGGGGTTGGGAGGGGTTGACAGGGTCGTGAAGGAGGGGTTGTTACTTGAAGGATGCTGGAACGGCGAAAGAATAGTTCACCTGATAAGCAAGCGATATGTATGGAGGGGTTGGGAGGGGTTGACAGGGTCGTGAAGGAGGGGTTGGGACTTGAAGGATGCTGGGACGGCAAAAGAATAGTTCACCTGAAAAGCAAGCGATATGCAGCATGGGTTGGGAAAGGAGGGGTTGACAGAGGTTGGGTAGGGTTGAGAATCATGGTGTTTGGCCAGGCTAGGAAAGGGCGGTTGGCAGTCCCATTGTGACTTCAAACTAGCGCCCTGTCCTTTTTTGGAGTCCATTGTGATTTCAAAAATACGTATATATTTTTTGGAGTTGCACGAGAGCTGCCGCGTTTCATTTCCTTAAGGTGCAGCTTTCATTTGAGAAAGAAATGGTGCTTTGAGGGGCAAAGAGGTGGAGTATGGTTTACGCAACACGGGCTTGGCTTGGCAGCAACAAATGGCGAGGGCATTCTCCCATCAAACAACGTACGGAGTAAGGATATTTTTCAAAGTGAGGGGCGCTCACCGTCAGTAATGAGGGAGGGAGGCCACTCTAGTAAGTGTGAGCGATTTGGGGGGAAAGGAGAGAGGGAGGGAGGGAGGGAGGGAGGGAGGGAGGGAGGAGGGAGGGAGGGAGGGAGGGAGGGAGGGAGGGAGGGAGGGAGGGAGGGAGGGAGGGAGGGAGGGAGGGAGGGAGGGAGGGAGGGAGGGAGGGAACACCTGCCAGGAGTCGTAGAGTGTGTTGCCGATGAAGAGAGGGGTGTGCAGCAGCGGGAGGTAATACTCGGGAAAAAAAACACTGCAGTGTGTGGGGAGGAGAGGGGAGGGGGGAGAGAGAGACGGGAAAAGGACGGGAAAAAGGACCTTGAGCCGGTAGTGAAAAGAAGGAGGACGGGAAAAAGGAGGAGGACGGGAAAAAGGAGGAGGACGGGAAAAGGGACGAGGACGGGAAAAGGGAGGCCGACGGGAAAAGGGAGGCGGACTGGAAAAAGGAGGCGGACGGGAAAAAGTAGGCGGACGGGAAAAAGGAGGCGGACGGGAAAAAGGAGGCGGACGGGAAAAAGGAGGCGGACGGGAAAAAGGAGGCGGACGGGAAAAAGGAGGCGGACGGGAAAAAGGAGGCGGACGGGAAAAAGGAGGAGGACGGGAAAAAGGAGGCGGACGGGAAAAAGGAGGCGGACGGGAAAAAGGAGGAGGACGGGAAAAAGGAGGCGGACGGGAAAAAGGAGGAGGACAGGAAAAAGGAGGCGGACGGGAAAAAGGAGGAGGACGGGAAAAAGGAGGAGGACGGGAAAAAGGAGGAGGACGGGAAAAAGGAGGAGGACGGGAAAAAGGAGGAGGACGGGAAAAAGGAGGAGCACGGGAAAAAGGAGGAGCACGGGAAAAAGGAGGAGGACGGGAAAAAGGAGGAGGACGGGAAAAAGGAGGAGGACGGGAAAAAGGAGGAGCACGGGAAAAAGGAGGCGGACGGGAAAAAGGAGGAGGACGGGAAAAAGGAGGAGGACGGGAAAAAGGAGGAGGACGGGAAAAAGGAGGAGGACGGGAAAAAGGAGGAGGACGGGAAAAAGGAGGAGGACGGGAAAAAGGAGGAGCACGGGAAAAAGGAGGAGGACGGGAAAAAGGAGGAGGACGGGAAAAGGGAGGAGGACGGGAAAAAGGAGGAGGACGGGAAAAAGGAGGACGCCGGGAAAAAAGAGGAGGACGAAAAAAAGGAGGAGGACGGGAAAAAGGAGGAGGACGGGAAAAAGGAGGAGGACGGGAAAAAGGAGGAGGACGGGAAAAAGGAGGAGGACGGGAAAAAGGAGGAGCACGGGAAAAAGGAGGAGGACGGGAAAAAGGAGGAGGACGGGAAAAAGGAGGAGGACGGGAAAAAGGAGGAGGACGGGAAAAGGAGGAGCACGGGAAAAAGGAGGAGGACGGGCTTGCTGGAGAGGAGGACTGGCAGGCAGTAGTGAACAAAACTGTAGCTGGAAGAAGAAAACGGCAGGAGGGCACAATCCCTGGCTGTTCCGTTTTAGGGGAGAGCTCTTTGGGTGCGTACGTAAGGTGCGTGAGCGAGCATGCGCAATGGGTCACGAGGAGAATAGTAGATTTTTGAGTTGACTAAAAAATTAGCCTTGGGTTCGTAGGGTGCGTGAGCGAGGAAGTAGGAGAGACAAAAAGAGAAGAGAGGGGAGGAGAGAAGGAAGAGGAGGCAGGTTGCGTTCCATCGCTCCGCGTGCCTGACCACCTGCAATCTCGGATTGAGTGATCTGCTGAGCCTTCACGTCTATACCCTCCTCAACCCGTGTTCCATCGCTCCACGTGCCTGACCACCTGACCACCCGTTCAATTGGTGAGCAGATCACTCCTGACTTTTGAGTCGACTCAAAAGTCATCTCGGATGGGAAGAGAGGAGAGGAGAGGAGAGGAGAGGAGAAGAGAGGAGAGGAGAGGAGAGGAGAGGAGAGGAGAGGAGAGAGGAGAGGAGGGGAGAGGAGAGGAGAGGAGAGGAGAGGAGAGGAGAGGAGAGGAGAGGAGAGGAGAGGAGAGGAGAGGAGAAGGAGGAGGGGGGGGAGCTTGCCTTCCATCGCTCCGCTGTGCGATTGGTCAGAAGATCCAGACAGCCCTGGTGCACCGACACGTTCTGAGTGAGGGGGGGAAATGTGATGCAGGGAATAAGGTGACAGGTATACGATGATAATGTCTCAGAAGGCGTTTCTGATTGAGACGCCTCGAGAGAAGGTCCAGACAGCCCTGGTGCACCGACACGTTCTTCTGAGCGAGGGAGAAAATGTGCCCTTTTTTTGAAAATGTGCACGTTTTCAGAGACCAGTTCTGAACGAGGTAAGAGAGTGGTCTGGAGCATGAGACGGCTGGGAGGAGGGTGGGGAGTCAGGAAAACGACAAGAAATACAGGTGAAGACAGGAAGATGACAAGAACTAGAATCATCTGCATTTGGTTCGGTCGACTCTTTGAAAGTCAACCTATAAGGTATATGGAATCCGCACCGCACCGCACCGCACCGCACCCTAAAGGCTGACGCATACCTGCAGCCTGACGATGGCTGAGAAGAGCTTTCTCATCTCGTGCTGGCCTCCCACGTCCTTGGTGTCCAGAAACACGCCCCCATCGCCCATGCACTTCACACCCCATGCACATGCACTTTACCCCCATGCCCCAGTCTGTATGCTGTAGCTACCTGTAGTCTAACCACAGCCGAGAAGAGCTTTCTCATCTCGTGCTGCCCTCCCACGTCCTTGGGGTCTAGAAACACACCCCCGTCTGTAGCCCCACCCAGCCCTGCTGTACTTGATAGTGCCTCGTGCAGCCTACCTGTAACCTGACGACGGCTGAGAATAGCTTCCTCATTTCGTGCTGCCCTCCCACGTCTTTGGTGTCTAGAAACACGCCCCCATCCCATCCCATCCCAGCAGCTGAAGCACGGGCTACAGCTGTAGCACGGGCTACAGCTGTCCTGCATGCTGTGCGTGCAGCCTACCTGTAATCTGACCACAGCTGAGAATAGCTTCCTCATCTCGTGCTGCCCTCCCACGTCCTTGGTGTCCAGAAACACGCCCCCATCGCCCATGCACTTCACCACCGGGGATGGTGGGGAGGAGGAGGAGGAGGCGAATGAGGAGGGTGAGGACGAAGCAGCAGCAGAAGCAGTAGAAGTAGCACCAGCTGTAGCACCAGCAGTACCACCAGCAGCGCCATCAGCAGCAGGAGCAGTAGAAGAGAGGGAGGAGTTTGGTTGTTGGGACTCCTCCAGCATTGTTCTGGCGAACCAATCACAGTGCAGGAAGGCTGCCAGCGCACCAGCTGAGCCTCCCCCGAATAGGACGTGCGATGCCGCCCGCAGGTTGTGGTGCTGCAGGAGATGGCTCACGATCGCCCGCATGATGTGGCTGCCTCTGAAGAAGATGAACTTGTTGGTCCCCTGTGCGCATACGGAGTAGAAAAAACATGGGAGAAAAGAGGGAGGAATTACTGCAGAGAAATCTGATACGTAGCTGCACCAATATGCCTCTGAAGAAGATGAACGGGGTCACATGATGGTGAAGGTGCCAACATGATGGTGAAGGTGCCAACATGATGGTGAAGGTGCCACTGCCACATGCACGGAACCGTAAGAGGAAGGGTGAGGTGAGGGACGGGCTCGAGGCGCCTCAACTCAAAAATCAGCAAATGGCTCAAAACTGGCAGCATGATGTTGCTTCTTTTAAACAAGATGGAGGGGTTGTTGCCCTGTGTCACGTGCATGGGAATGGCTTATGAGGTGCCTCAAGAATATCCACACAATGCCCACACTTACCGGTACTTTGATGCGATAGCTCTTGTTCCCCGAGAAAGAAGCGCCGTCACAGTAGCGCACCACCACACGGTTCCAAGTGAAGAACTCTATAAAGGGGACAACATGCCGAGCCAGAAATTTGGGATAAGAGAGAGATAAGGGGGTACGCATGGAGTGCTTGCGTGTGACGGGGTATGCATGGAGTGCTTGCGTGTGACGGGGTATGCATGGAGTGCTTGCGTGTGACGGGGTATGCATGGAGTGCTTGCGTGTGACGGGGTATGCATGGAGTGCTTGCGTGTGACGGGGTATGCATGGAGTGCTTGCGTGTGACGGGGTATGCATGGAGTGCTTGTGTGTGTGTGACGGACGGGGTTGTGGGTGAAGGAAGTATCCTTGAAGATGATGTGTGCGTTGTATGGGGGAGTGAAAGTGGGGAAGGCAAGGTTGCATGCAACAGAATGGTAACCAGGAGGAAACATTGTGGAGTGTTTGAACCTCCTGCCCTGTGCTTGTGTTGCGACCTGCTTGTCTGAATTTGCAGATGTAGCAGCACGTTTCCACGCCAGAATATACGAACGCACTTGTTCAGTTCAATCACTAACCGGTTGATCCTACGGTCAGAAGGGTCACCAGGGTTGATTTTACAATTGAAATACTCACTGGGATTCATCCTAAAACGAGGACACTAACCAGGATTGACCCCATCACGAGGACGCTCATCAGGGTGATACTATATCGAGGATACCAGGATTGATCCTATAACGAGGACACTCACTCACCAGGGTTGATCGCAGGGTTGGGAGAGAGAATGCCAATGAAAGAGTATGGCTGCATCTGATTGGACGAGCCTAGCTTGGTGAGCGATCGGTTGTAGCAATCACTGACTGAATCGCACCAGGCGCCACCCTGCCATGCCATGTGCGTGAGGTACAGGGAGGGAGGGAGAGGTGGAAAGGGAAAGACACTTTTGAGATTTCTCAAAAGCGATCGGTTGTAGCAATCGCTGACTGAATCGCACCAGGCGCCACCCTGCCATGTGCGTGAGGGGCAGGGCAGGGAGGGAGAAAAGGCTGCATCTGATTGGACGAGCCTAGCTTGGTGAGCGATCGGTTGCATGCAGCAGTCGATGACTGAATCGCACCAGGCGCCACCCAACCATGTGTGTGGGGGGCAGGGAAGGGAGGGAGAGATGGAAAGAGAAAGAAATGGGGAGGGCGGGACAGAACAAGGGAGGGAAATGTAAGGCGGAATGGGAGGGAGCAAATGTGCATTTTGGACCTATTTAATCCAATCCAAATCCTTGAAAAACATTGAAACAATCAGTGAGTGTGATTAAAGGCTCCTCCATACCTCGAGAAAGATGACCCACTTGTTAGCCCCGTCCCCTGACCCTGCCTGAAAGTGGAATCCGGGCGGTGTGCCGTCCAGACACACTGTGTGTGGGCCGGGTGGAAAAGGAGCAAAGACATAATCGCAATGAGAAGACCATTGGACAAGGGAGATGCGAATGACACGGAGAGAGGGAAAACGGAGTGACTCTCTGCAAACGCTCACCTTTCTCTATTGTCACCTTGCCCACGCTACCTTTCTCACCCTTGTCAAAAGTAACATCTCCCAGTCCACAACGGCCACTTCAACACCCTTTTTGAGGCGCATCGAAAATAGAGATCAAACGTCACACTCTCCCAGTGACATTCCACAACAGCCACTCCAGCACTCTTATAGAACTCAAGGGTCGGGTGATTCGAGCCAATCCGCACCCAGCAGCACATGTCCACCTCTCCACCAAAAGCATAGCATTCACACGTTACCGTTGGCTACACTGTACACATCCCGTCCGAGGTGTAACAATCGCCAGAATTCGCCACGGACAAACGCGACCGTTTTCCAACCCAATCGCACGCGTACCCGCTAAGCCGCCGAGTGTGTCGTTGACGATCGTCACAGGGATCTTCGGCCCCGTTATAGGCACTGCCTTATATCGATTCTCTTCAACAAACGGCTCGGTCCCGGCGAGGTCGTTTCGTGTGACGGAGGAGACGAGCATCCAGATGAACGGGAACGCGACGGCGAGACTGATCTGACGGCTGAACGGTCGTAGTCGCGACGCGGCTAATCGCAAGGCGGGAGAAACCGCGCCCATGATTGCAGAGATCGAATTATCTGACGGTTCAACGGTCGTGATTGCGAGGGTCAAGTGATCTAACGGTAAAAGGGTCGGAACTGCGAGGCTAGAGTGATCGGACGGCTATTGATCGTAATTACGAAGCTCGAGTCGGCTCCTGAAGAAGTTAACGAAGCTTAACCGTAGTGGAGAATAATAAGTTACAGTACCATGAAACCTTCATGTCACTTCGTCAGAAAGAAGCATGAAGGTAGTCGATGGCCTGACTAATGGCGCTACGAGTCCGTTCCTAACGGCTGGATTCAACTATGCCGTGAAACGACAAATTGTTCACTATCCATCGGCAATTCACGTCTCTCGCCGCGAATCGTGGCCATCAACCACCGCCGTTCGGTATTCTCCTACATCACGTGATCCATCAGCGTCCCGCCATTGGAAAAATCTCTCCATAAATCAGGCCCAAACTTGACCATTACATAATAGCGTTAGACCATGGCACGTAGCAGAGACAGTCAAGTGACTTGCAGGCCAGACTCCGTGCTTCTGGGCTGGATGCCTTCGGTTTTCAGGTTGTTCAGTTCCTGGAGAAGTGATGTTTCGTTCGTGCACCATTGTCGGTGTGCCGTCACAAGATCCTTCTCCTCGTTTGAGTACGACGCTGTGCAATTCAGAAGGTTTCACTTTCTTTACCGATTTGGACCGCGACTCACCTCACCACCAGCCTCGACATTTGACTGAAACATGCGGTACAAGAGGCCTGAGGGGGATGTTCCAAGCGACGGCATTTTCGAGGTTGGTGGGGTTGACCTTTGGACGGTCGCTGTCGCGTGCGAAAATTTCAGCGACGCTGATATGTTTCGCACATGTACGCGAGTGGCCCAAACACAGCCTTAGCGAACGCCGCCAGCTGTTTCCGCTGGCGATCAGGTTTTAGCGGAGGCACAACATTGTCTCGTCTATGTTGTTCTTCATTTTCGGCTACCTTTCGCATGGAACCCCTGCTGTTTACTAAATATCCCTATTATCGCGCACAGTTGGAAGCCTGAATCATGGTCATGTCTCCGAGCCTCATGATAGGAGAATCCGTGGAAGCAGACTACTATTTTCTCGTCTTATTTCACGTACTCCCCCCACCAGCCGGCCCATGCTGTTGAACCGGCGCGTAGTAACGGTTTAGCAGTGCTGCTCCCAAACAGCGTCGTCCGCCCGTCTAGTGTGCGAACCTTTTCCAAAACGGCCCGTTGGTTTGCTTTCCTCGGCGTTCCCGCTTTTCAGACGCATCGAGTCGAGAGCTTTCCTTGGAGCAAATTCCCGCTGCCGGGTCGATTCCAATCGAGCTCATTGCGTCCCGTCAATTGTCATTGCTAGCATTTCCGTTATCGGTCGCTGTAGCGGGCTTATACTACCAGTAATGGCACTGATGTGCTCGTGGTAGTCATGCACTGACACGGACGGTATGCCCTTATTGAAGGTGTGCTCTAATTGATGGTGTGCTCTTATTGAAGGTGTGCTGTTTATATCATCATGGAACCAGCCGCGTATGCTGCCGCAGCAATTGCTCCAGTAAGCAACCCTCCCTCCTCTCCAAACACCCCCGTTCCCCCAACCTCCTTCCCCTTCCCCGGCCCCTTTTGAGTCGACTCAAAGTTCATGGACTCAGCCTTGTCTGCTGCCGCAGCAACTGCTCCAGTAAGCCACCCTCCCTCCTCTCTTAACACCCCCATTTCCCCAACCCCCTTCCCCTCCACCGGCCCCCGCTCTCTTCCTCGTATCAGCAATTCGCATCTGGAAGGAATCAGTCGACATGCATCGTACTTGCATTTCATCAAGGGTACATCACGCATGGATAACATATCAGTGCATCACACCACATTCTTATAGATCATCTGAATGTATCACGCATTATGCATCCGATCATTTGAAAATGCTCTATTGCTGACGCTGGTAGTCGTATGTGGCTCCCTCTCTCTCTCCTCCCCCACCCGATCTGTATCGCTGGTACCTGTTAACAGTGGAGTATATTGGTAGTGCCTTTGAAGGGTGGCACTAGCAGCGTCAGGAATCAATTCAGGCCGCTCAAACTCATACTCTCTTTCCTCCTCCAACCCCACTCTGCAGCGCCGCTATCTGCTGACGGTGGAATACATTGGGAGTGCTTTTAGCGGGTGGCAGAAGCAGCCGCTGGGTAACAGCCCTCTGCCGTCAGTGCAAGGGGCTCTTGAGGTGGGAAGAAGGAGGTTGAGCGTGTGTGAGCATATGCGGAGCGCGAACGGGGGATCGTTTTGATGCTTCCTGGGTTGCATCATGCATGCAATCATGCATACATGCAATCATGCATACATGCAATCATGCTTACATGGGCACATGCACACACGCACACGTCCACTCATTGGACCCATTCATTGCGTGGACGATTTGGTAACTTGTATCAATCTTCCTCCATCTCCATGTTGCTTCATGTGAGTGCATGATACTACCATTCGCTCATTCCACTACCGAGGTGACCGTTGAGTCAACTCAAAGGTCATATCCGCAGTGACTTTCGTCGACTGAAATGAAAAGCCATACCTGCCTGCATTACTCTGAGTGAATGAGTGATGTGATGAGTACCGTTCGTTTGCTCTGCTACCTCTCTGTTTCTTTCCTGCCCCACAGGAGGCAATAGGGAAGCTGGTGGGGTCTGTTCCTGCTGGTAACCACAAGAGGCAGCGAGGCAAAGGCAACAACAAGCAATCACAGGCTGAAGCACAACGGCACGCAGGCAAGGAGGACGGTGGTCCCGATGCAAAAGCAGACGCGAAGGCTGATGCAAAAGCAAGTGCTGGTGCAAAGGCAGACGGTGGCGGCGCTGATGCAAATCGACTTGGAACATCCGGGGCATCATCAGGCTGTCATGTTGACGAGCCAGCATCCCAAGCTGACACGTTGGAAGCACCGCCATTGCCTCTGCCTCAAGTCGTTGGCTCCAGCAGAACAGTTACGCCCCTGCTCTCTTTCATTACAGCGACCCTGCATCTTGAATGCCGATGTGTCCCGCCGGATCGGATGTGCTGATGTGGACCAATCAGAATGCACCTGTGCTGTTTCGGCTCATGTCCCTAAGCCTCAAGCTTTTTGCGCTGGATCTCGTTGGACTGGATATGCTGATGTGGACCAATCAGGATGCGGGAGTGCACGCGCTGGGGAACACGTGCCATGTGGACATTCAGCGAGTGAGCCGCCGCCACCCGGGCAAGCAGGTTGGTGCGTGAGAGACACGGAGAAGCGAGGGGAGGAGACTTTTGAGGAGCCTCAAGAGGAGACTTCTGAGACGCCTCAAAAGCCGGGCAAGCAGGTTGGTGCGTGAGAGACACGGAGAAGCGAGGGTGAAGTGAGGAGGACCTCACACACTTACTTTCTTAACGACGCTTAAGTCTTTCAATCGTGCTAGATTTTCCACTCTGCACTTGCTCGTTAAGTGACTTCAAAATGCGCAAGGGGCTCAAGTCAATATTCCTCTCTGCACACATTCATTTCCTTTCGTCGTCTTGTACTTCAAGATCCTTTTATTTCTGCTCTCATTCATCAGGTGCCGCCCTTCTTACCAAAGGAGCTAACACGGGCAATTAACCATTTCCTGCAGGTACCACAACTATCAACTCTACCTACCTACCTACCTACCTACCTACCTACCTACCTACCTACCTACCTACCTACCTACCTACCTACCTACCTACCTACCTACCTACCTGCCTACCTGCCAATTACTTGTGTCACCTGTGTTTTTTTTAGAATTCTCAAAAAAGTCACCAGGTACACACGTATCAACCAACCATGCATGCACAGGCTTTGAACGATTTCGAGATCTTTACTGGCCAATAACATCGGCGTTTTTTTTTTTTTTTTTCCTGTTCAGTTGTTTCTCTTGAACGGCGGCACGGCAAGCAACCACTCGTGTGTGTTTTGAGAAATCTCAAAAAAGCACACGCTGCAACATGTTTCTCTTGAACGGCGGCAAGCAGCCACTCGTTCTCTCAGACGTCCTTGAATTGAGTTTGTCTGTTTCACCATTTGCTCCCAAATGCGTGCAGCTGTCAGCAGCAGAGGCGTCAGTGGTGGCGGCAAGGGAGGTGCCTCTGTCCTTCTTTTGAGTCGACTCAATAGCAGACTCAAAAAACACACGCTGCAACATGTTTCTCTTGAACGGCGGCAAGCAGCCACTCGTTCTCTCAGACGTCATTGAATTGAGTTTGTCTGTTTTACCATTTGCTCCCAAATGCGTGCAGCTGTCAGCAGCAGAGGCGTCAGTGGTGGCGGCAAGGGAGGTGCCTCTGTCCTTCTTTTGAGTCGACTCAAGTTTTTGAGTCGACTCAATAGCAGACTCAAAAAACACACGCTGCAACATATTTCTCTTGAACGGCGGCAAGCAATCACTCGTTCTCTCAGACGTCCTTGAAATGAGTTTGTCTGTCTCACCATTTGCTCCCAAATGCGTGCAGCTGTCAGCAGTAGAGGCGTCAGTGGTGGCGGCAAGGGAGGTGCCTCTGTCCTTCCACGCCCGATTCCAGGCCACTGAGCGAACGTGCGTGAGGGGGTGACATGGTGTGACAGGTGGTGGGGGGGGCGATAGGTGAGAGGGGAGAAGCTGGGGCAGTGGTGGCGGCAAGGGAGGTGCCTCTGTCCTTCCACGCCCGATTCCAGGCCACCGAGCGAACGTGCGTCAGTTAGTGGGTGAAGTGGAGGCAGCTGGGGGGAAACGACATGTGGGTGGGGGGGGGAGAAAGTACCGCTAACTGTACCGCATACACACATCACCACCATCCACCCATCTCTCCATCATCAATCACAATCGACTGTGTGCCACATGGCCTCCCATCGTGACTTACATGCCATGTGCATTTTGAGAAATCTCTAAACTTCCCGCTTCCCTTTTCCCCCTCCCCTGCAGCTACCTGTACTGCATACATGCTTCTCCATCCACCCATCCGTCCATATTCGATCGCAATCGAGTGTGGCAATCACATGCCGGCCCATCTCAACGTGCCTGCCATGCGCCATGTGCCATTCTTCTTCTCTCCCCCCTCCCCCACAGCTACCTGCACACGCATCACTGTCCACCCCACCCTCCATCTTCGATTGCAACCGCGTGTGGCACGTGCCGGCTCATCTTGATTCATATACCGTGCCCCTCTCTCCCCCCTCTCCTCTCCAGCTACCGCTTACATGCATCACCGTCCATCCCACCCTCCATATTCGATGCCATGCCATCTCAACTTACATGCCGCCGTGCCCCTGCACCCTTTTTACTCGCCCCTCCCCTCCCCTCCAGCTACCTGTATCGCATACACGCGTCACGTCCACCCCGCCCTCCATCTTCCATCTGCTCCCCTTCTCCACTCCCCCAATTCCCCACCCCCTCCTTTTTCAGCGACGTCTACCACATACACACCTCACCGTCCATCCACCCCGCCCTCTATATTTGATCACAACCGCGCCTGGCACGTGCCATGCCATCTCAACGTGCATGCCATGCGCCATGTGCCATTCTTCTTCTCTCCCCCCTCCCCTCCAGCTACCTGTATCGCATACACACGTCACCATCCACCTCACCCTCGTTATTTGATCGCAACCACGTGCGGGCCCACCCCTTCCCTCCAGCTACCTGTACTGCATACACGCCTCACCATCCACCCCACCCTCCATCTTCCATCGCAACTGCGAGCGGCACGTGCCGTGCCTTCTCAACGTGCCTGCCATGCGCCATGTGCCATTCTTCTTCTCTCCCCCCCCCCTCAGTTACCTGTACCGCATACATGCATCACCATCCACCCCGCCCTCCATATTTGATCGCAACCGAGTGTGGCACGTGCCGTGCCATCTCAACGTGCCTGCCATGCGCCATGTGCCATTCTTCTTCTCTCCCCCCTTCCCTCCAGCTACCTGTATCGCATACACGCCTCACCATCCACCCCACCCTCGTTATTTGATCGAAACCGCATGTGGCACGTGCCGTGCCACTTTGACGTGCATGCCATGTTCCAGGCAACTCACATATTGACGTACTTCCCCTTTGCCTCCCTCCCCTTCCCTCCGCCCCAGCTACCTGTATCGCATACACGCGTCACCATCCACCCCGCCCTCCATATTCGATCGCAATCGTGTGTGGCACGTGCCGTGCCATCTCAACGTACCTGCCATGCGCGCTGCGGCAGCAGCTCTCTGTGGTTTCCACGACTTCTCCTCCTTCAGAGCCTCAGGCTGCCAGGTGCGTGTGTGGGCGTGCTGTGAGTGAGATGCCTGTGGCACGTGCAGATGAGATATCTCATCTGCTCGTGCCACAGGCATCTCACTCACAGATGGATGCATAACATGGCATAACATGGCATAACATGCATCTCATGTTATGCATCCATCATCATCAACCATGCACAGACGTCAGAGGGCTTGCATTGCACTGGTAGCAGACGGCTGACAGCTGAGCAGAGAGCTGACATCCCTCCATGATCTCTTCCCGTCCCAGCTTCCCTCATCGCTCGTCCCTCTTCCTCCCAGCCACGCCCACCCGTATTTCCCTTCTCCCCCCCACTCCCCCCCACCCGCACTCCCCACCTTTTTCCCCCACACAACATCCCCCCTCAATTCCCTTTACTCCCTCCCCACTCCAACCCACTCCCCCCACCACCTCTTCCCCCCGCTTCTCCCGCCAGGCGTGCTCCCCTCTGGCCTCTCTCACTGAGCTCTAAATCTTCCCTGTGCTCTGCTGACCCTGCAGCCCCCCTAAAACCCCCCACCCCTCCCCCTTCACTCTTCCCCCCACCACCTCTTCCCCCCGCTTCTCCCGCCAGGCGTGCTCCCCTCTGATCTCTCTCACAGAGCTCTCAATCTTCCCTGTGCTCTGCTGTCCCGCCTCCCCCCTTCCTCAAAACCTCACACTTCCCCACTCCCCCCCTATCCCAACCCCCCCACTCCCCCACATCCCTCCCTCTCCCCCCCATCACTGCCCCCCCCTCACTCCTCCCCACTCCTTCCCCATCTCCCCCATCACCCCCCACTTCTCCCACCAGGCGCGCTCCCCTCTGCGCTCGCTCACAGAGCTCTCAATCCTTGAAGTGACCTCTTGGCGCGCCTGCCTGCCTCCTTAAACATCCTACCTTCCCCCGACTCCCCGCACTACTCCCCCTCCCCCCCCACTCCTCCCCCCAGGCGCGCTCCCCTCTGCGCTCGCTCACAGAGCTCTCCATTCTTGAAGTGACCTCCTGGCGCGCTTGCCTGCCCGCCTCCTCCCACCCCTCCTGCACCACGTGGCAAGCACCTGCGGGGGCAAAGGGGGGTGAAGGAGCCACGTGGCAAGGACCTGAGAGGGCGGAGGGAGGGGAAGAGGGAGGCGATGGGGAGGAGGTAGCGGTTTCGTGTGGAGAGAAGCGAGGCAGGGAAGGGGAGGGAGTGGCAGCGGAGGGAGTGGCAGGGGAGGGAGTGGCAGCGGAAGAGGGAGTGGCAGGGGAGGGAGGGGAAGGAGGAGGCGAAGGGGAGGAGGTAGCGGTTTCGTGTGGAGAGAAGCGAGGGAGAGAAGGGGAGGGAGTGGCAGCGGATGGGGATGGAGAGGGGGCGGGTGGCAAGAGGCAGCGTGAGGGAGAGAGAGGCGAGGAGGGGCGAGGGGAGAGGATAATGAACGAGAGGAAAAGAGAGGAAGGGGAGGGAGGGAAGGGAGGGGAGGAAGGAGAGGGAGGGGTGGGAGGGGAGGAAGGGAAAGAAGCGGAGGGAGGGGTGCAGATGCTGGTGGTACGGGCGAGGGCCCCGTCATTTCTGTACCATCAAGTGCGGCTGCTGGTGGGGCTGCTCAAAGCCGTGGGAGCAGGAGCAGTGCAGCCCGACTCAGGTGAGAAGAGAGGGGAAAGGTAAGATGTTGGTTTGAGGAGTCTGTACCACCAGGTGTGGCTGTTGGTGGGGCTGCTCAAGGCCGTGGGAGCGGGGGCAGTGCAGCCCGATACAGGTGAGGGGAAGGACTGGTAATATGGGATGATTGTAGTTCTGCAGGTCTGTACCACCAGGTGCGGCTGCTGGTGGGACTGCTAAAGGCCGTGGGAGCAGGGGCCGTGCAGCCCGAAAGAGGTGAGGTGGAGGGGGCAAGTGGGAGGGGGGGAGATGTCATTTCTTTATAATGGTTTGAGGAGTCTGTACCATCAAGCGCGGCTGCTGGTGGAGCTGCTTAAGGCCGTGGGAGCAGGAGCCGTGCAGTCTGATACAGGTGAGGGGGAGGGGGGGAGGGAGAAAGGGTTAGATTGTGATTCTGTACGTCTGTCCCACCAGGTCCAGCTATTGCTGGGACTGCTCAAGGCCGAGGGAGCATGGGCGGTGAGGAGAAGGGGGGAAGTGGGAGTGCCTACTATGGGTCTTGCCTGTGGCTTCCTTTCCCATCACACAGCATGACTATCATCTCTGTCCCCTCTGCCTTCCGTTCCATCTCCCTCCCGGCAGTCAAGTCAATCCTGGAAGCAAGGGACATCCGGAGAGTGCCGCCCATGTCTTCTGCAGGCGGCCTCTTTCCAAATCACAACACCATGTCCCTGCCTTTCCCTCCACCTTCCCTTCCCCCTCTCCTCTCTCCCGGCAGTCAAGTCAATTCTGGAGGCGAGGGACATTCAAGGAGTGCTTCTCATGGCACCTGCCTGCGGCTTTCTTTCCCATCACACATCATGACCATCATCTCCTTCCCCTGCGCTTCCCCTCCCCTCTCCTCCCTCCCGGCAGTGAAGTCAATTCTGGAGGCGAGGGACATTCAAGGAGTGCCTCCCGTGGCGCCTGTATGCGGCCTCTTCCAAATCTCACCATGTTCTCTGCCCTTCCCTCCGCCTCCCCTTCCACCTCTCTCCTCCCCCTCTCCTTCCCATAACGCCTGCCTGCGGCCCCCTTTTGAGCCAATTCCAATATCCCTTCACCATGTCCCCATGCCTCCCCTCCACTTGCTTCCACCCTCCTTACCTCTCCTCCCTCCCGGCAGTCAAGTCAATCGTGGAAGCAAGGGACATCCGGGGAGTGCCTCCCATGGCGCCTGCATGCGGCCTTTATCTTGCCAATGTTGCATACGGCCCCACCAGGCCCAAACGAGCCTCCTCCTCACAGCAATAAACTGCTCGTAAGGGGCCAAAAACGGTTCCCTCACACAAATAGAGTGCCCCCCATGGCGCCTGCCTGCGGCCTTTACCTTGCCAATGTTGCCTACAGCCCCCAGAGGCCTAAACGAGCAGCTTCACACGAATGAAATGCCCCAAGGTGCAGAAGCAGACTCACGGGAATGGCATGGCCCCCATGGCGCCTGCCTGCAGCCAAAACAGGCTCACAGCAATGAAATGCCTGAGCTGATTCTGCAGCAACTGGTTTCTGGGTAACACCATATTTACAGGATCGCAGTTCAACGAGGCATTTGCATGGAAGTGGAATAGTATTTGCACGAATTTAATAGCAATACACTTCAGTGCCATTAACTTGTTCATGCTTGCTTGCCGTGCCCTAAGCACCACTTCAGGGTTCCCTGAACAAGCCCAACATCATACTGCCCATCCCCTAGTTACAAGACTGCTGCTGAGATGAGCGCAACAATTACCGTAATCCCCCGGATATAAGACCCTAGGGTCTTATGCTAAATCCCTATAAAAAATGGGGGGGGGTCTTAACAAAGGAGCAAATTTATACCACCCGAGTCTTATCATATGGCCCCTTTTTTAAAAGGTGTTTTGAACACTACAGTTAATACTGAAGTTGGGGGGATGCTTTTGGCGAGCACCAAGCCAGCAAAACCTTCTTCGCTTTGAATGCTGCTAGAAATCCGCCTCCCACAGTAACATCGCCCCCTCGTGCAGGAAATTCGCCCCCAGATTCGTCCTTGACGCAGCAAATTCGCCACTGACTCAGCAAATTCGTCCCCATATCGCAGCACATTCGCACCTGACGCAGCAAATTCAGCCCCTGACAGGCCAAATTCGCATAGTAACATGTTTCGGTCTAAATAGAATAATTCGAAATCTACATGGAAACCCCCCCCCTATAGGGGAAAGGGGGGTCTTATATTGTTTACCCCTCAAAAGGGGGTTATAACGATTTCGTGGTTTTCTAAAGTACCCCCCCCCCCCCCCCCCCCGTATTAGCTACCCGGGGGTCTTTTAATTTGGGGGGGTCTTTTATCCGGGGGATTACGGTACCTACGGTACTCAACCACACATGTACACTTCCATGGGACCAATATCTCTATCCTATATACCTATTCAGCCTACTCCAGGATCTCAACGTATTTGACAAAGCTCACTCGCTTGGGGCTTCTGGCAGGCGAGCCTGCATCAGAGCCCCCCCTGCGGGCACTGGAGGAGGGGGCAGTAAGGCACGGCCTGACAGCAGTGAGGCACGGCCTGACATGCACTGGCTGGTGCCTCTGCCCTCCTGCTGCTGGGTGAGCCTGCTTCAAAGCTGCAAAGGCTGGTGGGGGCAGAGAGGCATGGTCTGACACGCACTGGCTGATGCCGGCTCGCCTCTGCCTCTGCCCTCCTGCTGCTGGTGAGATTGCTGCTGCTGCTGGTGGGACTGCTGCTGCTGCTGGTGGGACTGCTGCTGCTGCTGGTGCTGCTGCTGCTGCTGGTGGTGCTGCTGCTGCTGCTGCTGGTGGGACTGCTGCTGCTGCTGGTGGCACTGCTGCTGCTGGTGGGTGGAGTGCCGGTGCTGGTGGGTGCACTGCTGCTGCTGCCGGCGGGTGGGACTGCTGCTGCTGGATTTGATGCCATCTGTGCTGCTGGATTAAATGCTGCCTGAGATGCTACCACTTGGGAGTCCAGCCTTCCCTCAAGTTGAGGCGCCAGTGTGTGTCGTCCCGCAACGGTCGCTGGATTGGACAAGCCTTTGCTCCTCGCGAATACCCGAGGCGACATGTTACGATCCTCAGGTGGCTTTTGAGTCGACTCAAAAACCACCGCCGGAGCGGAATACGCCTCTTCTGCACTTCTCGCAAAGACCCGAAACGGCGGTGTGGTATCATCAAGTGGTTTTTTAGCCGACTCAAACATCCCCGCCGGAGCGGAATACGCCTCTTCTGCACTCCTCGCAAAGACCCGAGGCGGCGGCGGCGCGGTAATATCAAGCAATTCCTCAGCACCATCATCTGCGCGTTGCTTCCTCGTGCTCTCCAAGTCGCCTGCAGGGAAGTAAAACACGCTCCCACCGCGTCCTGAGCTTCTGGGTCCTGAGCTCACTGCTTCGGCAGGTTGTAACGAGCCACTCTGTGTTGATGCCCGGCTGCATTGGCTTGAGAGCATGCCATGGCTTTCGAAGCCCATGAGAGCCGTTTCGGCTGCGGACGGTGTTTGTTCAGAGGGCGGTTTGTTGGACAGCGCAAGGTGGCGGCGGCGGCGGAACGCGCAGGCGGCGGCGGGTTTGTCCCCGCGGGGAGGCGAGGGGAGCAAGAGCCGCGGAAGGCCTCCTCCGCACGGGTCAGAACCGGCGGAAAGCGCGCGGCGGTGGGCATTCGTGGGCGCGTCCCCGCGGGGAGGCGAGGGGAGCAACCGCCCTCCGCACGCGTCAGAACCGGCGGAAAGTGCGCGGCGGTGGGCAATCGCCGCCGGCGGCGCATCTCCGCGGCGGAGGCAGGCGGAACCTCCGCCGCCGCGAGGAGCAGCGGACATGGCGGGCGCGGCGTGGGGAGGTTGCGCGGAGCAGCCGGAGAGCACAGGCGGCGGACGAGACGGCGCAAACGCCGGAGCAAATGGTGCAAACGATGAGTACGAGTCCATGACGCGATGATGGAAGGCACATTGCGGCTGCTGCGCTTCCCTCCAGTGCGGAGGAGAGAGATCGTGAAGCTCCACGAGTGATTGCCATTGGCAACAGCGATGCCGCGTGGTGGTTCGCGGAGTTGTAGAAGAGTAGTAACGCTGGGGGCGGCTCGCCATTCCGTCACCAAGTAGGTGGTATGGTACTACCAGTATCACCAGTAGAGGGTGAAATACGGCGACGGCGAGTTGTAGGAACTCACGCGCTAATAAGAGGTAGTAGTAGCTCTTGTAGTAGTGCTATTGATTCGTAGCGAGATGGATTGATGAGAAGCAGGCGCTACTCACGCGCTGCATGATTGTATGAAAACGATGCACTGTGAGGCTCCGCGATTGGGAGTTTACCTCGCTTCCGCTGTGGCCTGTCCTCCGAGCGATGCGCGCGCGCCCTCGCGAATAAGAGCGATGTTCGCGCGCGCCCTCGCGAATGAGAGCGATGCCGTGCGAACGCGGCGATAAGTTCGTTCGACCCGAAGGGCGCAAGCGAAGGGCATGAGGTCACCATCCGCTGTGACCAGACGCGATACGCCGCCATCACAGCTAATGACCTACTAGGTCGCTGATAACGACTCTCGTGCCGTACCTGATAATATTTTCGCTGATATGTTGAAAATGGAAGACAAGGGACCCTGTCAGCATCGCCGCCATTCCACGTCGGATAGATGATGACGATGAATGTGTTGCAAACCTGTCAGCATTACCTGAATCTGAACATATATTTTGATGATATTTTACTTTTTTTTTTTTCCCAGTATAATCTGTTAAAGCAATCGAGGTACTATCTATTACAATGTAGCATAATTACGCAAGGAAAAGGAGTGGAAACGGGAAGAGAGGAGAAAAGGAGGAATAACGTGAGTAGAAAAAAGGAGAGAGGAAGAAAGAAGGAGGGGAATAGGGGAAAAATGATAGGAGGAAGAAAAACAGGGAAGAAGGAAGAAAAAGCAGCACACACAACCCCAAGAAAACCCCAATAGCACACACATTTAAAACACCATCAAGCCCTCCCATCAAAGCACCCCAACTGCACTCCCATCGAACCAAACCTCCCCCCCTAAACCCACTTTCTAAACCCGCATGTCTACCAAGTATGGTGCATCCGCCCACGGAGCATCCCATCCCATCTCCTCCTCAACATCCTCCCGCTCCACCCAAACAGCCTCTGGGCCTCTCATCATCGACGCAGCGCGTAACAAGATCACACGCGCCTGAGCCCGTTGCAAAGCCACACCCACAGCCGCTTTGAGCGATCCGAGCAAATAAGCCGAGAAACCCTTTCCCGTAGCTCGCGCCGCCCCTTTCGTCTTTGCTATCTCGATCTGCGCGTCACCCTGCTTCTTAAGCCACCGTCCAAAACTCCCCCCCAAGCATCCCCATGTCTCAGCAATGAGTGGTGTGAACTGCACTCCCCCATGCCGCTGTAGAAGCGATTTGTAGTCCGCCGTCTTCCGCTTTTCTCTCTCTCTCGCGGCAAAACCCACCTTGCGACCAATCTGTCCATGGTGCTGCGCGGATAGCGAGATAGGATCTACCACACTAACCTCCAGCGCGTGCTCCTCCCCCTCCCTCAGTTTCCGAACCGCCACATCAACCCTCTTCCCTGGGAGCAACGTGTCGTCTTCCATGGTCACAATCCCACCCGCACCCTTAGCTATCTTCGCCACCACAAATTTAACCGCATCGTGAACCCGAGAAGGTGCATACTGATACTTGCAGCGAAGGGCATGATGCGGGTCAGAGGGATCAGCAAACTCAAACCCACACGCGCACTTGCCGGCCACTATCAGCTGCTGAATAGGGAGGCCTAGGCGCATGGACGCGCAGATGCTCCACTCGGCTGCGGTGAAGGTAGCCTCCTCGTGCGAAGGAACGGCAGAAACCCACGCCCCAGCCCCCGGGCCCTGAAGGGATGTCAAACGGGCCAGGGTGGCATCGTTGTGGGCCATGCCTCGAAGAGATTGGAGGCTCTCAACCGCCAGGCGACGGTGTTGTGTGGGGAAGAGCAGCATAGGCGGATCAGCGGTGCACAAGGCAAGGGGTGGCATCTCCTGCCGAACCGACTGTGGAAGCAGATCCACTGCTCTCGCAAACCAGGGGTCCAACAAGGTCGTAGCCTCGGGCGTGCGGAAAAACTCCTCAAACATCCGCTCCTCACCTGCCACCCCCAACCGAGCCACATCGCTCACTGCTTGGCACCAGCCACATGCATACGACAGAGGACTAAGGTCAGCCGCAGATCGAATGCCGAACCCCCCGAGTCTGGCAGGAAGGTGCAGCTGTAAACGAGCCATCTGGGACTTCCCCGAATCGTGATCC